AATTAATATATATTAATATTTCCATTAAGAATGATTAATATTTAATGATTTTAATTCAGGTCTCGGACAAATGCTTCAGAGCGATCTCCATATTATTTGCAACACAGCAAATCAAGTGGAAACGTACATCGATATCTTTATGCTCAACAGCAACAACAAATACAACATACTCTTCAGCAACATCACCAGACATCACGTCATTCTCAGAGTAGTCATCATTCAACGGGCTCTGTTTTACGACAGTCACATCCACTCGATACCTCCGCATCAAGTGGAAATATATTACATGTAATCATAGATTTTTTTTACAAAATAATATTAATTGTCTATTGATAGAACTTGGAAAATAACTTTTTTAAAAAAAGAAAATACTATAATAATAAGAAAAATAACAAAAAGATAGATGAAAAAATCCCAAAAAATAAATAATATAAAAATTGAAATATTATGAAAAATGTAGAATATAAAATATAAAATATTAAATATATTTTTTAGTATTATCTTCTTATAAAAAAATAATTTTTATATAGATTTAATTTATTGTTATATTTATATTATTTAATGATAAAATATTTAATTGCCTTTAAGATTGTAAAAAACCTTGAAACATAAACATGCGTAGGATGAACGTGATAGTATCGCATGCTAAACACATGTTATGAAACAGGGTTCAGGTAGAGTCCACTTCAATGTAGATCAAAATGATGTCAAACTGAACACAGCTAAACCTGGCAGACTTATAAAATCATTATCCTTTGTCTCTACTTATGGATTGAAACGATCGAAAAGTTTGAATGCAGCTGATGTGTTGGCTGCAAAGGCGGTAAATATTTCAGACGCATCTGAACTCGGGAAATTTCCAACAGTGATTCAGGATACACTTCTAAAAGCTATCGAAGGTAATTATAAAAAATTAAAAGATATAATTTTAAATTTAATATTTATTTTTATTCTTATTATAATATTTATATTTATTAATTGAAATTAAAGAATTTTTAATTCTTTTTTTTAAATTTAGATCCGAATTTATTGAATGCTCGAGCTTTAATGGAACTTGTACGACATATTTTGGAGAGAGTTGTCGAGAACCGGAAGTATGCTGAACCTGCAGCGAAAATTTGTATCACTATTATTGAGGTTATTATATTTATACTGTTATAAAATATTAATTAAGACGAATTTCAAATTTATGATTATCATATTCTTTTTTTAATGTAGAAAGAAAGTAAAGAAACTTTCTTGGAATCCTTATTAAATACATGTCAACAGTGGTATCAAGATCGAGTTAAAATACTTTATGATGGATCCAGTTATCATCGTTATTCCGCTTTCATGACATTCTTGAACGAGATGTATTGTCAGGTAGAATAAATTTTTTTTATCTTGTAAATTAACTATTAATAGATTTTTGATATTTTTGAGTCAAAATGATTGATTATGCTCATATATCTATCCTCATCCATATGGATGATTTTGGTTATAGCTAAAACGAAGGCAGCTTCAATTAAAGACACAACAGGAGGGTGTTCCTCCCGGACGTGTTCTTCTCACATTGCTTTGGAAATGTTGTCAAGATTGTTTGCAACCTCCAGTTGTAAATTCTTTAGCTGAAGTAAGTTTAATACATAAGTATCAATACATAATTAAAATAATACAAAATATTCTCATTATTTAATATTTAGGTATGATAAAAAAAATAATTATTTTTTTCATGTGTTAAAGACTGACTGCTTGTTTTTCATCTTAACATGTATCGGCAAAGATTTGGATGCTGAATTACCAGTCCAATTACAGCAATTACTTGGAAGTTTAAGAGATGCTTTTCTCGCGGAAGATACGATATTACCGTCAGTCAGAAAGACCCTTTTACAACTGATCGAACTTCATGCTGCACATTGGCAACTTCCAGCACCAGCAGTTGTTTATTATTATCCTGGATCGACTTCGAAATGATGTTTCTATTTTTTCAATTTCTCCGTCCGTTCATTGATTTTCTGTAATGATACGTTGACAATTTTTTAATCATTTTAAATTAATTAAGAGCTATATTTTAATACTTCACGCAATTATAAAGTGGAGTATTAAACGTGTAATAAACGGTTCTAAAAAAACAATAGCCTAAGCCGTTTATGATGCGTTCTTGTGAAATTTTTTTTTTAATTAATGCCTCATAATGTAGTCATAATGTAGTATTAACGATTGATGCGTCAATCGATAAAATATGATTAACCATGATCTCGTTGTTACTACAAAAAATGACTGTGCCTTGTGCAATTCTGCAAGAAGTGATTTACGATGAACTTCGTTGCGAGAAATGTCAATCTATGTTTGATTTTTTACAATTGATTATTTCATTCGTATAAATAAACTTGGACGTCTATAATCCATTGACATGATGATAGAACTCGTTCGTATTTTCTATGATTTCAAATTAAAAATATTTCATTAGAAAGTCAATGGATTAAATCAGAAACCAATTAAAATTGGTATATTATTTATCCGAATTATCGTGTTAATTACCGCGAAGTTTGAATTTTAAAGAAAAAATAAATTCATAAAAATCTTGAGAATTAAATGTGTATATATGTAATGAACGAATGATTTAACAGAATAGATATTTGAAAAAAAAAAAAATATGTCATCATCAGAGAATCAAAAAAACATGGATAATCACGGATTACGATAGAGATATTTTACTTCGAATTTTCCTCGGCTTTTTCCGTAAATACGATACTAATATACGAAGCATCTTAAAAAAGATATAAGATAAAAAATAAAAACGAATCGAATGAGTGATATTGCCGTCGAACTCGTCGAACGATTATATTATAAAAACGACCCTTATGTGGAACGATTTGAATGTTTGCAATAATCTATACAGTTTTTTTCTTAAAAGTGTGGAATAAATGATGGGTAAAAAACTGATGTTAAACAATCTTCCGGTGTGTTCTGGATGCATTAAAATCTGTAGTTGAACATTTTTTTTTACATGTATGCAAACTATTCGAAAAAAATAGTGAATGTGAATGTGATTTACAGATTAAAATACAGGTACAAAAATTTTTTCGTTCTAAGGCGTTTGCTTCTTATTAATTATTTTTTATCCTTTGTACATTAATATTGATTTTAATTTCAGATATAATTTCTTAGACAAATAATATATCAAAGACATATATTTTTTTCTGTGATTGTCTATAAATTAAAGACTGTTGATAAATTGGCTATATATTTATCATAGAAATGAAGAGCTTTTTGGAAGAGAGCAGTTAAGCAGAAAAGAACTTAACGTGACATATATTCTCAATAAGGAATATGTCTGATCTGCTTTTCGAAATGCAATCTCCTTTGCTGATTTGTGCCAAGGGCGATAAAAATCGTCTGGTAGCTGGAGTGGAGATTTCTTTGCGAGTTGACTCATTATTCATATTTTTTTTTATATATGTTATTTTAAATATTTATAAATATTATTTTTATTAAAATTTTTGAAGATTTTATATATTTTAAAATCTATATTATTCAAAAATGAATATTATAAAAGTTATAAAATCTTATGACAAGTATAATGTTGACACATATAATTTTTCTGTTTTTTTTTTTAGCTAATTATATATGTGCTATAAAACAAAAAAAAAATACATATTTGTGTAATTGTTTTCAAGTAAAGAAAGAACACATAATATTATTAAGATAATACAATTATTCTTTCATTGGTGTGAAACAATTGTTTGGTGTAAAGAATAGGAAACAAATATATATTTAATTTAATGTGTGAGTTTGCATTTAAAAATATTATTAACGAAAGAATTTCATTTCAAAAATCCTTTAGAAATTTAAAATTTACAGGAAAATTCATAGAGATATAAAATTAATATTTTATGATGTGCAAAAATCTTTGGTCAGGTATTTTTAAAACTTATTTCTAACAGTATAATCAATAAAATAAATAATAATAAATACATGTTCGATAAATCATCTTTCTTTCAGCATACATCTGCATTCATAATGCTATTGAAATATTTGTTTTATGTTTTTGAAGAAAAAAATTAAGAATTTATTTGACTAGAAATTACTGAAGTTATTAAAAAGATTAAGAATAAATTTTTTTTGTATTTTATTCAGAAAAATTAAATAAGAAAACATGAATTATTATATTATACAAAACATGGATTATTTGAATTATTCTTACTTTATCTTGTTAATTAAATATTAATATATAATATACTATACAAGATTTTTAAAAAATCAATAAAAAATAAAGTTTTAAAAATATTTTATAGTTACAGATATTTCAACCTATTTAATATAACTAATATTTATTTTATATCATTTCTTCAATTTATGGAATTATTTAAAATGAAAAAAATGAAAAATTTTTAATTTTTTAAATTGAAACATTAAATATACATCTAATTACATTAATCACATTTAGAAAGTATAAAAAGAGATTTGAGATGCAAATTGATATTCTATTCCCTTACATCAAAATTATACGGTATTAAATTCTAATTATTTTTACTTAATATTCATTTTAAAAGAAACAATTAATTTTAAACTTTATAGACTTAAATAGGATTTTGAGATTCTCAGTTCTCGAAAGATATCTCAAATTACACGTTAGTATCTTTAAAATTAATTATATTAAAATAATTATATTAATGTTCTAATTAACTTTAGATCATATGTTTTATAATCATCAAGCAATATACTCATGTCAAGGTCATGTCTATTGTCCTCCATATTTGTCCCAGGTTTTACGTCCGGAATCAAAGAAGCAGAACACGAAATGCTTGTATTCCAACTTGTAAATTTCGTTGCTGCCAGGATGTTCTCTACTGGTATCCGTAGGAGAGACGTCCCGTCATCGACCTTGAAAACTCAGGTCAGAGAACCGAGAGAGGTTTCGCCTTGGGTAATCGGTGCCGCGGATTCGAAAACTAGGCCTGTGCCTGCGGTGGCGGTGACGTCGTCATCAGTACACATCGCGATGTATACGGTGAACGAATCATGGGAAGAGGTGAAGAGACGACAAGGACGAGAAGACGAGAGTGGAGGAGTGTAGAGGCGAATAAGACAGAGCATTTGAAAGAAGAAGAAAGATAGAAAGAGATGAAGAGAAAGAGAAAGAAATACATGCATAATGTTAAATGGAGGAAAAGAGAAAGAAAGATAGCGCGTTCGCGGTAACGAAACAAATAGGCCGGCGACTTTCACCACGTATCCAAGAACGGCTATACAACACACAAGCAATAGGCCGAGCGCTCTTGGCCCAAACCACTTGAGTATGAGGTGTACCCTCGCTCACCGTTCTCGATGTCCTCGCAGTGGGGGGAATCCTGCTCGAAGCCACCAGACACGAGGCATACCCTGAGAGCCAGAGCGAACGGACCTCGATTCTTTTTCTTTCATCCGTATATCGCACGTGTTGTCTCTGTTCTCCGTGATAGTCCGGTTACAGACACACGGTGGCATATCCACGACAGTATATCCACGACACGGAAAGTGTCATTTCGTCGCTCTCCTCTTTTTTTTCTTCTTTCAATCTCAACAATCTCTTCTTCGTCAACAATTTTTTAAACATTTGTTTCTGTCGCGGTGCGTGTCTCATCTTATATGTCTTCCTCATAACTGTTCCTCTTCTACACGTTAGTATACTTACAGATCGTTCTACCAAAGCAGAAACATATTTCGTCGGGATATGCATTCCTTCGATAGAATTTGAATCTAAAGCATTGGATAATAGTGATTGTTTAGTGTGCCAGAAGCGGGACCAAGTGGTGATAAACGAAAACATTAAAAGAAATGCACGGGTGCGTGTTGCCGATTTGCTGACAATGACACGACGACGACCACCGAGATCAGATTCAAACTGGATCTATCTGTTAATCTGGCTACTTTGGATCGTCCTGCCTATTAAGACCGGTACAATGCTCATGACTTTTACTTTATGATGTTGAATCGCTTAGTGTACGCGTGCGATTCCGTTATGCGCTCAAACAAGTTCAAGACGAAAGTGTACTAAAAGTGAAAATATAGAGCAATGATGTTTCATCAGAGAGGTTTTTTTTTAGTATCTTTTAATTGGAACAATGATAGATCATTTTTTAGTATTGACACATTAGAAGTAGATCTATTTGAAATGAAATAGAATTTTTTTGTATTTTTATAGAAATAGTTGATTTAGTTTTGAAACAAATATTCAGATTGTCTTTTATCTTGATTGTCTAAAATCTATAATATACAAATCTAAATGAAAACAGTATTTGGGAACAGAATTTTAAATTAAATATTAATTCTTAATCTTCTTTGTTAGTACATATATTAATTTTGAAAATGAATGATATATTAGATTATTAGTTTATTAGTATTAGTTAAAACATATGTTGATTTTGATTGTGTCATATGAGTAAGTATTTAATTTTTACAGTTAAAAGAATTTTTATTTAATTTTTGTCACAAGCTTTAAAGCAAATTAAAAGTAGTTCTAATAACAATGTTAATAATATATTAATTCTTAGTCTTTGCACATTCATTTTATGTAATTAATAAATACGAAACTTCGTCGATCGTAAATTAAACGTTGATAGCCGGATCTGTTTAAATATCTGAGCCGCGATCTCCTCTGTAACTAAAGAATAATTTATGTGCATAGTCTGTCTAAATGTCTGTCTAAACAATTATCATGTTACATGTCTAAACTAACGAATCAATCTTTTCAGAAATAGTGATAAAAATAAATGAATAATTTCGTCTTTTCTTTTTTAAAAACTTCACGATTCTAAGAAATAATTCATATTTCAATGGCTATTCATTATATATTAGAAATTTTATATTATGATGATTCATTATATATTAGAAATTTTGTTGATTTATTTAATTAAAGATTTTCACTAATTAAATAACTGCCATAACAATTGAATTGAATTCTTTTATGATGATCGATTTTAAAAAAAGATTTTAAAAATAATTTTTAAATTTTATTGATAAAAATTTATATTTTCTTGTTGATTATAAATAATATTTTCTCATATTGCAGGAGTAGTGCACAGTTATGCAGATAAACAGAGGTACGATGGATGGTACAACAATCTGGCTCATCCGGATTGGGGATCGATTGGCAAGTAGTTCAAATAGCATTGCTTCGTTATTTTGTCAACGACAAGCACACGTGTGTTGATTTGTTTAGTTTTATTGCTTTGTTTAAATTTGTTTTACTTAAAATAATGCATTTGTAATGCATTCAAAATTATTACAATTTAAGATACAGTAATTATCAATGATAGCGAATTATCACGAATATTTTTGTTGACATTGTGATGCGACTCGAATTGCAATAGCGTGTAAAACCAATAGTGCATAGAGTGAAACGCGAAAAAAGTTATTATTTTGTTTCAATATAGGTCGGTATAAAATAGCCAATAAAAATTTTAACAGAGAAAGAATGTGATTAGTTCGACAAAAATGTTATGGTTTTTTAAACATGAAAATCATTTTGTCCCTCGATCATATCTACTATCAATGTATCTATTTAACATAAATTATAATAATAATCACATTTTAAAAAATATTTCTAAAACATAAAATAAATGTAAATAATAATAAATAAAATATAAATAATTTAAATAGAAATATTTAAATAGAAATATATAAATGAATAAAAAAAAATAAATAAAATTTTATTATGATATTATCTAATAATTATATATTTTATGTGAAAAAAAATAATTATAAATCAATAATTTTAGCAAGATCTCTTTTTTTTCTATATTAGATATATTTTTATAATAATATTGGATTATTATAATTGATAATAAATCCAATTATTATAATTGCATGAATATCCATTATTTTTTAAGCTACATTGTGTCTTAAACAATACTTAGCATAATATCGAGATGAAATCCTATTAATATGTGTATAATAATAATAAAATTTAATGTTAAATAAATTATATTTATAATTCGATAGATGAAAACTTATAATAAAATTTTAAATAAAAGTCATTTTAAGTAATAGACTTAACATGTTTCTTACATCCGTAGACAGCAGGCTGATACGAAAGATGCCAGCAGCTTATTCTGATGGAGTTTATATGTTGGCTGGCCAGGATAGACCGTCTCCAAGGAAGCTTAGTCAGCTTTTCATGCAGGGTGACGATGGTCTGCCATCCGTTAAAAATAGGACAGCACTATTTGCGTTCTTTGGTAAGAATCAAAGCTGAAATTTTTTAAAAATAATTATAGGATAGAGAAATGATATAAATGATGTTGTTTCTAATTTTAGCTAATTAATAATTATGAATAATTATGAGTAAAATTGAATTGAAAAGAAAAAATACATATGCTTACAAATATTAAAATAAATTAATATAATATTTTTAATAATTTGAAAGAATAAGAATAGAATATTTAAATGAAAGATTTTAATAATTTGAAAGAATAAGAATATTTAAATGATTATGGATCTTAAATAACTTTTTTATATTTATTGCATTTGAAGAAAATATACTTATATTTTTATAGAATAATTATTATTTTTAATTATTATTATTCTATCACTTATTCAAATAGTACATTTAAATTTGTAAATTTTCGATGATATAAAGAATTAGCATTTGCAAACATTTAAAATAGTCAGATAATAATAGAATATTATTAATAGAATATTGTAAAATTAGGAAAAAAAAATTACCATGGCTGCACCTATTCGAATATCCGTATTACAATATTGCGCAAACTGTAACATGTCTGTTGGAATAGCATGAGGTGCAAGGAACTTTTTGATCTACTTTTCACGCTAAAATATTCCGTAATAGCGTGAATATAGTGAAATTTGGTTCATGTTATTCAAATTAGAAAATATTATTAATTTAGTGGATAATTTATATAAATATATTTTCATGTTAAAGAAAATAAGATCCATTTTTATTTGAAATATAAATATACACACTATATATGATTATGAATGATTATGAAAATAAAAATCACTCTAAGAAATTGAGAAGATTAATTTTTAAAATTTTTAAAATTGTTTTAATAAATTTTATAATATATAGAAATAGATTTTAAAAAATGACAATGATATTTTAAAAAAAGTAGAAATATATTATTAATAAATTTTTAAAAGAAAATTCTTTTTTGATAAGATTTATCAGAAAAATTCATCACGCACACGTGGGCTTAAACAAATTTTGATTTTATTATTTTTCAATGGATTTATTTTATATATCTACTTTATGATTTTATGTTATTATTCTTGGCAACTTATAATCATCATTTTCCAGTTTATCAAGCATTATGGCAAAATTAGAATTGAGTAGGCGGATACAATTTCTGCATTGGAATACAATAATTGCAACAAAGATGTAAAATTATAAATCAAGTTCTTTTTTCTGGAAATATATAATATTATGATCAAATGATTTTTTGAATAATCGTTTTCTTAATTTGCATAAAATCTTCAAATTTATCAAATATACTTGCTTATCAACATTTAATAAATATTTGAGTGCTTAATTAATCTCTTGAGTTATTAAGAGACTCTCTTACTAAATCTCATTTAAATCTTGTTTAATATCTTGTTTAATTCAAGTTTAGAATCAATATTCTTAAGATTTCATTTCTTTAAGATTAAAAAAATACTTTTAGAAATTAATCATAAAAAAATAAATCACAAATTATAAATTCTTTTACGATGATTTTTTAGTTCTTACTCATTGTTGAAACACGTGAACAGAACAAAAGAAAATGATTATCTAAAAAAGTAAACATATTAAATTAAATAAGTAAATTTCAAGTTAAATCTATTGTACATAAATGATCAAGATTAATAAAAATAATATTACAAAAATATATTATTTATACATAATATAAATAATGCATTTCTGAATAGCTAAATTTAAAATCAACATTAATTTTGTTAATAATAAAAACATTTTCATGCACGTAAAATCGTTTAAAAAATCGTTTCTCAAAACTTATGAATTTCAATTATCGATAGATCTTATATTTATATTTATATAAAATAAAGGAAAGATATAAAGATAAAAATAAAATGAAAAAACGAGAATGTAAAATGTAAAATTCTTTTAAATATAATTCGAAATAAAACGTGAATAATCTCACGTGTCCTCCACTTTGCCCCGAAAATGTGGGGCATCACGCGTTAAAGTGGAATGAACAAACATGGTGAGACTCGACAGGGAAAAGCCGATTCTCGAAAGAGGCGGAAAGTAAAAACTAGGCCAGTCTTCTGGATTCCATCCGTGTCGATTTTTTCTTTTTTTTTATTTTTTATTGGCGACCAGTAATGGTACGGAAGCGACCGGAGAAAAAGTAAATCCTTCGAGTAGAACCGGTCCCGGCGTTTGCAACTTCGCTTCCTTGAAAGCAATAAATACCTCGATCGGTATACATCGAATACCGCATACGGAATCGTTTCAGGGCAACTGGTCACGTCGGAGATAATCATGGCCAGCGAAAGTGGCTGCCCCATAGAGTACCATCGAATCGACGTGGACAAATGTGATCCGGTTTTCGACAAGGAGTGCCAAGGTAACAAGTACATTCCCTTCCGCCGGGCGGATTACGATCGACAAACCGGACGCAGCCCTAATAGCCCTCGTGAACAGGTAATTTCTTGCTTTCCCTGATCCGATTTATTCTCTTTTCTTTCCGGGAGATAATTTTATCCATGCGTTGTTTTTGAATTATTTAAGATAATTGCTAGTATAAATCGTTCTTTTTTTATTTTAATTGGAAAATAGTTTTATTATTTTTAATTTATTTAGAGAGAAATAATTGGGTGGAATTTGAATGGTTAGTGGTGTTATTAAAAAGTAGAGAATCTTGAATTTAATTTAAATTTGATTTGAATATTTTATTACAAACATTGTGAAAGTTTTAAAGAAAGAATTTATCGTAGTATCTTTTTAAATAATAATAAAATTAAATGATGCAATTTATTTTCGTTTCGAATTGTACTTTTATTGTAGTTTTTCATGATTGTTAAATTTCTGAATTATTTCATAAAAATTCCCAGAAGTATACTAAAATGGAATTATTAAAGAAGAATGAAAAGTTAGTAAAGATTTTATAAAAAATTTATACGACCTGTTTCTGAAACAAGATGAGTTATTTTTAACGATGGAGAAAGTAATGGTCATTAAGAGCTCTGTAAGCTGTTTCTTACCCTTTCTTTCAGCGTATCACATAATTACTGACCAAAGCACATCGAACATTTTTCATGAGAAAACATGTCACGTATATGCTTTTAATACTATAAATAAATAAATATAATATAATTCAATATAAATTCATAGAAACTTTTTCATTTCTAATATAGAATTCTAATATAGAATTTCTACTCGTTTATTTTTATTATTAAATGTAATTAAGAGAATGAAATTTAAACAGAGATTTTTTTTTTGTCTTCTTCATATATAATTTATATATTTTTGCATATTAACAAAATTTTCTTATCTTCTGTATTGTTTTATGTTTTCAACACTTTGGACCCCCATGCTGGTCCCCCATGATTGAATCTTTCATAAGATAATTTCTTTTTCTGAAATCTTATTTTCGATATGTTTAAATCTTTTAATATTAAACAATATAATTTTAATTATATTACATATTCTAAATAAATAAATCATGAAATAATTAAAACACTGTTTCGCTCAAATTTCAATCGAATTTCATATGAAATTGAAAGTGAAATTGCTTTTGAATCAATTATATGAGAGTAAACGAATCTTATGAGTATCGAAAATCGTTCAATACTGGGAAATAAATCGTGAAAAGTAGCTCTGAATACGTGAGGTTGCAGATAAACAAAGTGACGAGCTGGATCGATGGTAGCTTCGTTTATTCGAGCAGTGAAGCATGGGCCAATACTATGAGATCGTTTAAAAATGGGAGCCTCCTCATGGAACCAACCAGGAAATTCCCTGTAAGGAATACGATGCGTGCCCCACTTTTCAATCATGCTGTTCCACACGTTATGAGAATGCTCAGCCCGGAACGCCTTTATCGTGAGTTTCTCTCCTTTTATTTCTTTGCACGTGACAATTTTCAATAATTTTTTTCACGATAAAAAAAAAAAATTGTTCAGTTCTTGGAGATCCACGAACAAATCAACATCCTCCACTGTTGGCTCTCGGAATATTATTTTATCGGTGGCACAATGTGATTGCTGCTCGTATTCAACTGGAGAATCCGAATATGTCTGATGAGGATATCTTTCAGAAAGCAAGACGTGTCGTTATAGGGACGCTTCAGGTAAAAATCTTTTATATATCTTTTAAATTTTGTATTATAACAATGTGAAAGTAAGTTTTTCGTTTTGTTTAAAAATTGTATCATTAGAAAGAAATTTAAAATGATAAAATGTTTAGGATTTTTTACGTAAATTAATAATGAAGTTCAATATCAAAATAAATATATAAGTGTCTTTAGTTTCGATAATATTAATTAATGCTTAATTTAATTCAATTTAATTCAATAATAATTATAAATTCATCCTTCTTACAATTTACACCATAAATTCTCATCCTGTCATTGTAATGCTAGTAATGTTATATTATTTTTTGCAATTGTATACCGGTTGATGTAACTCGATATATTAATTTTATTTCAAGAATTAATATAAACTCACAAACCGTAATCCTTTATGAAATCTTTGAATATCGTCTTGAATACCATTTAAACATATTGCACATGTTATACAGAACTTGTTTCTTTAATTTTGTTTTTTTTTTTTTTTTTTTTTTTTTAATTGCAGAATATTATTTTATACGAGTATATTCCTATACTTTTGAACGAGGATTTGCCACCTTACACAGGATACAAGTCAGATCTTCATCCTGGTATCAGTCACATATTTCAGAGTGCAGCTTTCCGGTTTGGGCACACTTTAATACCACCTGGATTGTATCGTCGAGATGAAAATTGCGAATATAGAAGAACAAATATCGATCAACCTGCGATTAGACTCTGTTCCACCTGGTGGGATTCTAATGTAATTATTAAAATATCGTTTGAATTTATCTTTTATTTATTATAGTTTGTTAAACTTTAAAAAGATAATTATTTTGAAGAGAATAATCTAACTTAAATATAATTATACATATGTATGCACTTATATTTAGGAAGTTTTAACTAATAGTACAATTGAAGAACTTCTCATGGGTATGACTTCGCAAATAGCAGAAAAAGAGGACAATCTTCTTGGCACTGATATTAGAAACAATTTATTTGGGCCCATGGAATTTTCAAGACGAGATTTAGGGGCTTTGAACATTATGCGAGGCAGAGACAACGGGCTTCCAGATTATAATACAGCCAGAGCACATTTCAAGCTATCTCGAAAGAAGACTTGGAACGAAATCAATCCAGAATTGTTTAATAAAAATCCTTCGTTATTGCGTACGTTAGTCGAAATCCATTCGAATAATTTGAACAATATGGATGTTTATGTCGGCGGGATGTTGGAGTCTAGTGCAGGTCCTGGAGAACTTTTTTCTACTGTGATAAAAGAGCAATTTCTTCGTTTGAGAGATTCTGATAGATTTTGGTTTGAAAATGAAGAGAATGGGTAAGTCATGTGATTAAATTTGATATTAAAAAGTAACAAAAATCTCCAATAATAATCTTGACTCATATATAAAATTGAAAAGACATTAAATTATATTATATAGACAATAAATTATATAATATAAAATTTTGTAAAAATCTATACTAATATACTATCTATTCCAAACATATTATAAATCTAAATTTCGTTCCAGAATTTTTACAAAAAGCGAGATAGCAGATATTCGCCGAATTACTTTATGGGATATAATAGTAAACGCGACAGGAATACCAGCGAACGCGATTCAAAGAAAAGTATTCACCTGGGAGGAGGGAGATCCCTGTCCCCAACCCTATCAACTAAATTCAACGATGTTAGAACCCTGCGTCCCATTACAACGTTACGACTACTTTGAGGTGATTAATATTCCTTATACCATTCCAGTATACATTATCTAATGCAACACTATCTTCCTGCAAATTTTCACATTCCCCTCTTGGTTACCTTATACGTAGAAGTCTTAAAACTATGTGCATCCACTCCATTATAGGGAAGCGAGTTGGTGTACATATACGCCTGTGTTTTTCTCGGGTTTGTACCGATTCTTTGCGCCGGTGCCGGTTACGGTTTGGTCAAGCTTCAGAATCGGCGAAGAAGACGATTGAAAATTCTCCAAGAGGCGATACAGAAAAGAAACGATGGCAAGATCTGCGTGGACAAGATGATCGTGCGCGAATGGCTTCACGCGAATCATCGTCGTTTAGTCAAGGTGAAATTTGGGCCGGAAGCGGCTCTGCACATCGTCGATCGCAAAGGCGAGAAACTGCGTACATTTGATTTCAACGATGTTAACACGGTCACGATGGAAGAATCGCAGGTGATTACGAAAAGCCAGCCTTCATTCTTTATTTATATGAAATTTCAAAGGAAAATCTAGTCAAGAGATCTTATACGGAATTTCTTAATTGTATAACAAGTAAGGAAATACTAATACTAATAGTGGAAATTTTTCAAGACTGGTTCTATGGACTGGTTCATCGAATTCAACGGACTTGATTGATACACTAAAGCCAGTGTAATTCCACGCTTTCGTGAATTTAAAAATTCATGAAAATTGTATTAATAAATGAAGTTATATTAGTTATTGTTAAAATAATTAATTGTAATTATATTCTTATATCTTATATTCAATCCTTGATAATCATTGATATCAATCAATGAATATCCTTGATCATTAATTTATCGTTGATCATTAATTAATAATGTATGATTATTAATTAAAAATTAGCATTAACTTGTCTTCTTCACAATCGTATCTACAATAATAATTATGTATTTATATAGGAGAATGAAAATGGTCATCGTAAGCCATTGGTTCTGTTGCGAATACCGCGAGACTACGACCTTGTCCTTGAACTGGATTCACTGGCCTCACGTAGAAAGTTTATTGCGAAACTGGAGGCATTTCTGGCGTCCCATAAGAAGCACTTCACACTGTCCCAAGTGAGCCGGGACATTATGCTTGCAAAAGCGGAAACGAAGGAACGCCGTCAGAAAAAATTGGAACAAGTATTATATTTTTTTTCTCCTTCCTTCCTTCTCTCCAATCAATTCCTATCTCGGGTTTTGAATTAATGAATGTAACGTATTCCTGCTTCCATTTCCTGCTTCACCGCTATGTAATACCAGTTTTTTTCTTTCATGACAGTTCTTTAGGGAAGCTTATGCTTTGACGTTTGGTTTACGACCTGGTGAAAGGCGGCGACGATCCGAGGATAGCGACAGCGGTGAAGTCGTTACCGTGATGAGGACGTCGCTTTCTAAAAGCGAATTTGCGAGTGCGCTTGGAATGCGTGCGGACGCGGTTTTCGTGAAGAAAATGTTTAATATCGTCGATAAAGACAGAGACGGTCGTATTTCGTTCCAGGTAAGATGAAGATTAAATATTTGGAAAATGGTCTTTATCTGTAACTTTGTATTCGTTCCTTTATATTTGTCAATCACTTATTACTTTATTGTAATGTCTATCATTCATATTGCAATATTTTGTATGAATTTTACATGAGAGTTTCTCCTACTTCCTACTAGTTAATAGAAATTGGTAAACTTCTTCTATTTTTTTGAGGCTAAATAATTTTCAATAATTTATACGGATATTATGCAAGATTAAAAAAGAAAATAATGAGAAAAATGAAAGTAAAAAAATTAATAAAAAAAAAAAAAGAGAAAGAAATTGATTAAAAATGATTTTAAAAATTAATAAAGATATGAATAAAAGAATTAGTAAAAAATTAATTGTTTTTTAGGAATTTTTGGACACTGTTTTGCTATTCTCGCGAGGAAAAACTGAGGATAAATTGAGAATTATCTTCGATATGTGTGACAAAGACTGTAATGGTGTTATCGACAAGGAAGAATTATCAGAAATGCTTCGATCCTTGGTAGAAATTGCACGTACGACCAGTCTGTCAGACGATCATGTCACAGAATTAATCGATGGAATGTTTCAAGTAAACTTTCAGTTCTAAAATGGCATTGTTAAATTATCCGTATCCAAAGACATGATTACACTTTAAAACGATTTGTTTCAGGATGCCGGACTCGAGAGAAAGGATTACCTTACATATAACGATTTCAAGTTGATGATGAAAGAGTACAAAGGCGATTTCGTGGCAATCGGTCTTGATTGCAAAGGCGCGAAGCAAAATTTTCTCGACACATCAACAAATGTAGCTCGCATGACGAGTTTCCATATTGATCAACTTCCACCTGAGGACTCAAAGACTTGGGCTCAAAAACAGTGGGATGCCATTTCGACATTTCTCGAGGAAAACCGACAGAATATTTTTTATTTATTTGTTTTTTATGTCACAACCATTGCTTTGTTCGTTGAAAGATTCATATGTGAGTCTTCTTCTTCATTATTTTACCCTTCATTACGAAAGATCTTGATTATTAAATTATTTTAAATTTCAGATTACTCTTTCATGGCTGAACATACGGATTTGAGGCATATTATGGGAGTTGGAATTGCCATAACTAGAGGATCTGCAGCAGCTTTGTCTTTCTGTTATAGTCTTCTTCTTTTGACCATGTCTCGCAATCTTTTGACTAAACTTAAAGAATTTTCTATTCAACAATATATTCCACTCGATTCACATATACAATTTCATAAAATTGCTGCATGCACTGCATTGTTCTTTTCTGTTTTGCATACCGTGGGACACATGGTTAATTTTTATCATGTGTCGACTCAACCATTAGCTCATCTTCGATGTTTGACCAGCGAACTTAGCTTCCCAAGCGATGCTCGGTTAACCATTTCGTTTTGGCTTTTTAGAACTGTAACAGGTAACTATTTGACTTTAATATCTATTATAAAATTTCGTGTAATTATTTAATTATTGTCCTTTTAACGCAGGTTTGACTGGAATTTTATTATTTATTGTAATGACGATAATATTTGTTTTTGCTCATCCAACTATTCGCCAGAAAGCATACAAATTTTTCTGGTCTACACATAGCTTATATGTAGTATTATATGCATTGTGTTTAATACACGGTTTGGCTCGTTTGACTGGTTCTCCACGATTTTGGATTTTCTTTGTTGGACCTGCTATTATTTATTCTTTAGATAAGGTAAATTGAATAATTATTTTTACATGTAATCATATTTCTATTAGTTATTTTCCTTTGAATCATTTTTTATCTATTACATATGTAATAATGTAACAAATAATCTTATTATTATTATTCTTTAGGTAGTAAGTCTTCGTACTAAATATATGGCGTTGGACATTATCGAAACAGAATTACTTCCTTCCGATGTAATTAAAATCAAATTCTACAGACCACCAAATTTGAAATATTTATCTGGTCAATGGGTTCGTCTTTCCTGTACCGCCTTTAGATCGAACGAGTTTCATTCGTTCACTCTAACTTCCGCACCACATGAAAACTTCTTATCATGTCATATTAAAGCGCAGGGACCATGGACTTGGAAACTTCGTAATTATTTTGATCCTTGTAATTATAATCCAGAGGATGAACATCCAAAAATAAGAATAGAAGGACCGTTCGGAGGTGGCAATCAAGATTGGTATAAATTTGAGGTTGCTGTAATGGTTGGTGGAGGTATTGGTGTCACCCCCTACGCCTCCATGTTAAATGATCTCGTATTTGGAACCTCTACCAATAGATATTCTGGAGTAGCTTGTAAGAAGGTAAGACTTGTAAAGGTAAAATATAATTACTTAATATAAATTACTTAAATTATAGTTATTTTTTTGTTATTATTATATGAAATATTCCAAATAAATTTTTAATAATAGATTAGAATAGAAATTATTATATTTTAATATCTTGTTTTCATTCTCATTAAATTTAGGTTTATTTCTTGTGGATTTGTCCATCACATAAACATTTTGAATGGTTCATCGACGTACTCAGAGATGTCGAGAGGAAAGATGTTACAGATGTGTTAGAAATTCACATATTTATTACACAATTTTTTCACAAATTCGATTTACGTACAACTATGCTGGTAAGTTGTTGCGTATTTGTGATAATAGTTTTGAAATTATTGTACAATCACACTTGTTTGTTACAGTATATTTGTGAGAACCACTTTCAAAGATTATCTAAAAAAAGTATATTTACTGGGTTAAAAGCAATAAATCATTTTGGTCGACCGGATATGACTTCATTTCTAAAATTTGTTCAGAAGAAGCACAGTTATGTAAGTTCTATAATTGTCTTTGCTTAATTAATGAGTATAATTAAAACATTGAGATTTAAAATTATAAATTAAAACCTTATATTACTGAATACATATTATTTAAATTCAATAATTTGAATATTTGAATAAATTAAAACATGTATTACTCGCAGGTTAGTAAAATAGGAGTATTTAGTTGCGGGCCCCGACCATTGACGAAGAGTGTGATGTCATCTTGTGACGAAGTGAACAAAGGTCGTCGTTTACCCTATTTTATTCATCACTTCGAAAACTTTGGCTAGTCTGATCAATATTATTAATGAAAGAAAAATAGAAGAAGAAAAACGATGGATTCTATCGTGAATTTCATGCAATTCCATCAAGTGTACATATTTATGCGCGTACGCTTATTTATAACAAGTATTATATTTCTTATTTATAATTATAAAAAATGAAAGAATATTTCTTTGTTCAGTCACGTTTTGAAATGTCAGTGTGAATGCATTATTAATGTCAATTTGTTTCATTCTGACATTGATAATCAGAACTGATTAAATTAAGGAAGAGAATTCTTAAGAATCATTCATGATTCTTAAGACATCTCCCTTGAGTTTAGATATTTTTTTTAGATATATTTTAAACGATTAAATTTATTTAATTGTTTGCAATTTATTAAGAAAATTACAAGAAAATATTTTATTATAAATCATTGTTTATTCCTTTCCTTTCTCCATAGGAATTTTAGAGTTAAATTTATAATTTTAAATGAACTAAAAACTTTTGAAATGTTGAAGAATTTACTAACAATAAAAGGATAAATATAAATGATAATTACAAAAAGATTAACCATTGATAGTTCTACGAGAAGATGATGGAAATGGATAAGACCAATTATTTTTTGATGAATCATTAGATTCATGATGAAATTCTGAAGATTCATGCGATGTATATCCTCGATTTATCACACCTTGTGTTTCCTCCTTGATATCATGTCTATTTTGCAACTTTGACGATAATTGACTGAAATCATATAAGATTCATTCATTTAATAAGTCTCAAAACATATTATTTTATTGAATAAGACAATTGATCAAACAGAGTAATAAAAAAATAGAACCTTATTATACGATCACCAAATGAATCCTCTATTTTAGGTAGTCTGCGTCTGATATTCCTCGTGTCGAAACTTTCTTCTATAATAACATGTCTATCATACGGTGTATCATAATCAACTTCTAATATGGTGGAAAATTGATGAGGAAAAATCATGTCTATTGCTGTTATCACCACTCCAGCGAATAAACATCCGATACCTAAGGAAAAATTCACTTCCTGAAGATCCAAGATCCTATCCCACCAAATTCTATGATATATTTAAAATATAAGAGAGCTAACCAGCTAGTAAAACAAGCCAATAATTCCATCCTAAATTAAAAGCAAGAATGGAACCGTCTACATGTGCTATAAGAGGCTCGCAAGGTAAAAGTGCCCAGTAAACTAAATTCGTGATTAACATACAGATCCCTGTGAAGATCATTCCATAAGCTCCGTATCGTGGCACTACTATTAATAACAGATTCATCATGGCCCAAGATGCAAAGGACGTCCTAAAAAAATATAATTAGTCAATGTAAATAAAAAAGAAAGATACAATCAGGATGAAGGAATGAATTAAGAGTGACTCAATGCTAATGGTATTTTGTCGAGACATACCAGAGCATGAGCGATGCGTAGTAGCCAGCCTGCCGATACTTGCTTCCCCAGGAGAAACCTTCTTGGTGAAGACTAAAATATTCGGCTAGAGAAACGATAGGAAAAGGTGCTCCCTGGTTCAGAGCTTGTTTGAAAGCGTTTGTCATCTCTCCTGTGCTTCTCCACCAGAATCTTTCATTGTATTCTACATCGTCCATTGGATTTTCGCTACTTGGTAACACTATATATGGAAATTAATTAAAATAATGAAGGAAAATAATTTGTACTTTAGTTGAATGATTAAGCTAGATTTCTTTTTTGTTTTTTTTTTCAATATATTTTGGATATATAAAACTTAAATAATTAATAAAAAAAAAAAGATTTTGAACAATTAATTATGTATAATAATTATACATAAAATTATATTTGATTAAATATATTTTTAAAATTATTTTAACTGAAACATATTATTTATAACATCTTTTATAGAAATGATTTTGAACGAAACCAAAATCGCTTTGCTGTGTTATGTTTGAATATATCTAAATCTATTTTAAAATGATTTATGTACGTCATTCTTGATACTTTTTATAATCGAAAAAGAGACCTTGAACAATTGATTTTGGACGAACAGTAGACTATTATAATCGACTGAAAGGTTTGTTATAAGTGACTCACATTTGTACGTGATGTTTATGTGCATCAAACCGATATATCCGCCAATTTCAGCTGCAGTTTTCTGCCTTGAAAATGCACTGTACGTGCTGACGATAGTTGCGGAGCTCGTGTGCCAGGAGGATCCATACTGAGCAACTATAAACGTGGAAAAATAACTCATGTATATACAATTCAATGAAAAAAAAAAAAAAATCTCAATTAAACGCGATCAAATAAACCTTGAATCGATGCTCCAACAAAAAGGCTCAAGGTTACCGTGAGGAACGTGCTAAAACGCTGTGGACGACACAAAAAAAATTACAATTAATTCATAATTATATCTATCGATAACATAAGACAATAATTTCAATAATAGAACGAAAAACAAAGAAATATTAACCTCTTTTCGTATCCCAGGAAATATGACTAAGAATGCGGTGAAAATGGTGCCGAAGACGACGAACACGATCACCAGAGGAACATCTCCCGTGACGGGTGTGCGATTACTATAACTGTACAACGTGGGTCCACCATCGATTCGAAACGCGTCGAACCATCCCTTCATCTTCTCGATTCAATCTTCGACTTCTCTTCGATCCTGAGGGAACCGGCTAGTTCCGGTTCTCTTTGCAAACCACTTGGCATCAGTGGCTTTCCCTGAACATTCGACAAAACGCAACGAAAAACCAATCCAGCTGAATACAAACTCTCTAATAATAAATTGAATATTGATGCAGTCAAAGTTCTTTTAAAAGTATACCTTAGGTCGCCTCTGGCTACCAATATCCAAGGACGATTAATTGTGAAACCAAGGTACATAGAAAACGAGAATCTGAGCCATCAACATGGAAGGCACGAAGGCAGCGCGAACACTAAGGCCCACAGTAGGTTAACGGGTCTTCGAAAGCGATCTCCAGTCATGGAGCGTAGAGGGGACTGAGAGTTGGTTATTCAAGAGGGGAGTATGAAAGAGAAAGACGGCCAGGTGGGGCTGAGTAAAGGAATCGGCCACCACCACCCATTCCAAGTGGCCGAGGTGAAGAGGGACAAAAGGTATTCCCGATCAGCTGAGGCAGGAAAACTCGACTCCGCGCTTTAAAGTGCATGTCTGACGCGTTTTATTTCGGCGGATCGGCGATCGATGATCCCGGATGACGACACGAGACGTGACACGTGAGCGTGGATCGCGAGGTATGCTCGATGGCACGCGGGAGACTTCGATGGCTGCACAAACGGTGACGTCGTTTAGCACTCCGGAAACTTTTTCGTGTTTCATCACATGTATACCTGAAATAAATCATAGTGAAAAGAAACCAACGTTAGATCTTTTGTTTCTTCATCTAAGGTATGTTAAATGTTGGAATTTTTATCTATTATATATCTCTAAAAATATATCTCTAAAAATTTGTTAAAAGATGTTAAATTGAAAGATTTTTATATAGAAATATAAAAAAGTTTCATTCTAAATTGAAATAGAGAGCAAGTGAAGATTGCATAAAAAGTTTAGAATTATTAATAATATATGTGAATATTTATTAATATATAATTGTTTCAAGATAAAAAAAATATTAATTTATTATATTTTATTATTTGAAACTAAAATTATATATTATATATAATTATATTGGATATTGTTGCTTTTAAGAATAAAAGCAATTTATTATTTATTAGAAATATTACATTTCTTCACAGATTTTGCATTTTATTATGATATTCTATGCATATTACATATTTCATGCAAAATATTATATTATATAATAGATAATTGAAAAATTTTAGGACATTGAAGATGTTAAAAGACATTATTAAAGTAAGATTTTGATGATCAGATCGAGCAACAATATTAAAACAAAATTATCATAAATTTAAATTTATTCTACCAATTAAATAATATTCATACAGTTCATTTTAATTCAAGACAAGCGAATTACTTTAAAATTATGAAAAAGAAAATGAATAAGTGACATAAATGGCAAGTATGTAATTGTAAGTATGTAATTGAATTTCAGAAATAATTAAGATTATTCAACAATAGTATTTAGATTTGACTATTAAAGAAAATATTCCAAAATTACATGCTCCTTATCTATGGAAAGTCAGTACCATTTAATCCATTTAACTTTTGAATCAGATCCATTACTTTATTTTATTTTAGATCCATTTTTTATAATTCAAATTGAAAAAATTTATTAAGAAAATAATAATAATAGCTTTGTTCAATAAAATTTAAGCAATTATTATTGTCTATTGTGGAGATATTTATTGGATTGTTTACAATTCTTCTTATCTAGTTATTTATCTATAATATAATTTTTAATATGAAATATAATATTTAAACGAATCTTTCTTAGAAAGTTTCTTTTTAGTTTCATATATTTTTCACTCCTATATATATTTCACTCCTACTCAATATAATTCAATCTTAAATGCATCTTAATTAAATAAGTAAATTATATATAATAACATTATTGTATAATAATATTTCAATATAATAATCATCCAATAATCCAATTGAAACGCAGAAACTGGCTAGAACCGATAAACTCTCCAACCGAACTCTCACCTGACTCACATCCTCCTATTCACAATAAAAGCAACCCACGGAATGCTGGTCAACGGAGTTACTGGAACGTAAAATCCCGGATACGAGCTACCGTTTTTCATTGATGCGGCTACGGCCAGGTGTGCCGGTCGCACGAGATGTTGAAGCATCAACTCCACAAAGGCGACGGTGTTTCAGAGGCGTGAGGGCAGTGCCAAGAGGTGGACACGCGCGTATCCGTGTCCGGTACCGGAAGTAGTCGCGTACACCGCGATCACGACGTGCACGATAGCGAGGTATGCGTCCAGGCTGGTCCATAGTGCCGGCAATAACTCGGCTGCTATTTCAGGAGGTCTAATTCGAGCCGGGTGACGGTAAGCTTTTAACGGCAGCGCTGCTAGCATCATCCACCGTCGACAGTGCCACCACCACCTATGGCACCTCCACCACCACCAGCACCGCCGACGACGACGATAACCACCGGAACGAAGAGTCTGGTGGCAGAGAGGCTGTTCCTCGCGCAGTCTCCCGTGCGCGTAGGCCCCCAATACACCGACACTGCTCCTCTGACCCTTCAAGGTAAACCATATAATCTCTTTTGCCTTCTAATTGACCCGGTGCTGACAAGTGATGGCGATGTCGTTGCGATTTTCACCATGAGCAGTGACCATGTGTAGTTGGATGAGCGTGCAATATTAAAAATATATATATGTTTGTTAAATTGAAAAGAAAAGTTCATAAAAATTCGCAACGATGTACCATCGCATATTCGTTCGCAATGGGTCCGAATAATCGAACGCTTTGTCATTTTTCATCGATCTCTGTGGAATATCCGAGCTTCCTTCTCGTCCATGATTTGAGACATATATGTTGAGGAATAAAAAATGAACGGTAGAGAAAATAGTAAGGAGAAGGATGGAAGAGGCCGTGATTTCGACAGAGAATTTAATTGGTTTAAAATAGAGCAAGAGTTTTAAAGCGGAAGAAGACCCGCCAAGAAAGAGGGACTCATCATCGCATCGCAATCGATTCCGTTGTGTCGTGTGCTCTTGATGATTGAAACGCGTACGTTGCCAAAATCGGGCAGCTTTCGAGCAACAAACCGCCCGTTTGGCAGACGTCCACGAAGAGCAGACCGTGTGGCCGATCGCCTCGAATTTGATCGCTTGTACAGGCAATGGAAACGGAAGGTCGCGAGGCATACGCGTATTTTGATTAACCTATTAAGGATCAAACAGTGAAATAAATGCGTAAATGTTGCATAAATGCAATATTAATTATAGAATCGAATGTACTAATAATTAATATATTGTTTTATTGAGATAATGGATATGGAATGTCCTTTTTCAAATAAGATTTCATGTATTCTTACTTTTCTTTTTACATCATATATTTAAAATAATTTTTACATACACATTTTTCTCAATGATTAATTACTTGTCACTTCAAATAAGAATTTAAAAATTTGTATGCTATTCTTAAAATTTCTTTTAAAATGATTAATATTTGTGATGTTCTCCTTTAAATTTTTATTTTCTTTGAAATATTTTTTCATAAGGAAAATCTAAATTTATATGACAAACTTGTACATTATATATAAGAAAAATAATTAATTATTTCTTTAAATAAAAAACGAATAACGATGAAAAAAAATGAAACAATTTCATAAATGTCAAAAAATAGAATTCAATAATGTAAAAAGATTGGAAGAGAGATTGCAAATCGAATTTAGAAATAGTAAATACTAGATTAATTCAACTGGTTGGTCTTTAATGGGTTAATAAATTCGCTAAAGCTCGAGGAAGACCGATGAAGGTGCTTTCTCGAGGTGGTATCGAGAGCCGTCTACCACGGTGAAACTTCTCCGAACTATTTATAAAGCAATACAGCCTCATGGTAGGACGCAGTTGCCTATCATGGTCGTCTCGCGTGCAAAGCAAACTGACCGGAACTTTCGCCCGCTTTCTCACCCTCGATAGCACCATCGTCTAACTACACGAGAAGAGTAAATTATCTTCGTTTCCTACGTTAGAGGATTTTTGCTGAATAACGTTCTTGCCTGGATGTCATTGACATCAGTTTTTCTTAACTTCTAGTGTTAAGAATATATGAATGTGTATACGTGATGGAATGTTGGAAGTAGGAGAAGAAATATACCTCCTTTCATAACTATTGAGACATTTATGAACGAATGAGATAAACTTGCAAAATCAAATAAAATAATAAAGAATTTGCATGTATTATAAATTATAAATTTGTATGTAATTAAAAACTTTTCAAGTAAAAAAATATCAAAATAATTATTTTTACATCAATAACTCAAATATTGCAAATTTTGAAAAAATAAATTGTACTATTACTGTGAGTGATATGTATTAATTATATCCTAAATTTTTTCACTAATTAATCTCCTGTAATCTGAAATCAATTATATCATTTTGTATAAAAATTCGCAAGTATAAAATTTTTAATACTTATAACAAGAAATATAATATAAATATATGTTGATTAAAAAACAATTGTTTTTGGCTAGGAAGTATATTTCTAAAAGCAGAAAAAGTAAATGTTTAATAAACTGTTTAGTAAACGCAAAAAAATGAATCAAAAATCATATGTTATGCATAGATTTATTACTATTAACAAAATTAGATTTCTGAAACTGGGTATCATCCAAAGATTCATTATTGCACTTAATAAATATTTCTTAAAAGCTTGACACAAGCTTGAAACTTCAGAAATAAAATTGATCCAAACATTGTAATTCTTTATTATTACTATTATTACCTTTAACTCTTTCAAAATCTAGAAACTTAAAGATTCAAATGAGATTACTGAATCTCTCACAGATTTTTCAAAATATATACATTTTAAATATAGAAACATTTAAAACTATATTAAAGTTGATATTTTTCAATATTAAAAATATTTAAACAAAATTTAAATATTTAAACAATATTTAAATGATCTGAAAAAAGAAATTAATATTCAATTATTGCAAAATTATCTCACTTGAAGTACTAATGATTAACAATTTATTTTATATCCTTTTATTATTATGATTTACAATTATTCATAATTATTTACAATTATAGTCTACGATAATATACCTAACTATTTTTACTTTCATAAAGTTTATAAATAGTTTGTCACAAAAGCGCAGAAAGTATAGAAACTCGTTCGTTTCTCAAAATAATCTTTATGATCACGTTGTACGAATGTTTGTCGCTCTTTCCCTACCCTTTTCTTGCTATTCTAAGGCATTAACACGAATAACTTTGCCGAGTGACCAAAATGTTACCGAACGATTGGAATAATGCCGGAGAGACGTTTATAATATAACACACACGGATTTATAGATTTTGCGTTGATCTTTTACGTGAAAGAAGTGAATGAGTAAACGTGTATTACGCAATACTCGTGGAAATATTTATTATGGTATAGCAACAACTGGAGGATGTTTGTTTAACTCGAGTTCTAAAAAGATTCGCAGTTGATGATACCAGAATAAATGAAGACTAAAACACTTTTATTCCAATCGATTTTTTTATTCTATATATGTATGATTTAAAAGATGATGTATATAATAGATAATCGAATATAATTTATATTAATGTGTACAAATTTTGTATACAAATATAATATTAAAAATATAATAATATTTTTTGTAAAAGTTTTACTTTAAATATATTTTTAATAATATTCTAATTCAAATTTCAAGTAATAATGAAAATTTTATAATAATGTATGTTGTTTTAGTTATATATATATTCATTTTTCTATTTATAATTTTGAATAATTAAAGAAGAGAATTACCTTTGATGTATCATAACTTTAGATATTATATTTTGTATTTGTGCATTAATCAAACACATTGTTTTTGATATTTTGTTACTTTTTGATATTTTGTTCTTACTATCTTATTTTCAGTATTATTTTTTATTAGATGACAGAATTGTTTTATAATTTTGATTTATTTTCCAATGTTTAATCTCTGAATTCCAGAAAAATAATTCATTAAGTTTGATAGTCATCTATTTTCAGTATCTATAACTAAAAATTCAGTATCTATAACTAGAAATTCTCGACGATAAAAAATAATTATTTTCTAAATTGTTTATTTCTTAAATTTCTTTTTATTTTATTCACTGTTAACATATTAATGTTAATAAATATTAACCAATTATAATATATATTTTAATATATATATTGTATAAAAATGATTAAAGTTAGAATACTTACATCATGAAAATAATTGAATACTAACATTGTTTTGTCAAAGGGACTTGTGGATTTTTAATAATTTCAAACAAAAATCTGTGAATTAATTAATTTCACTTAGTTTCATCATTAATTCTAATATTAAATTAAACATTATTGGTATTATATCAAACTATTCTATGCATCAGGAAACGAAACTATCGAACTATCGAAATAAAACTATCGAAATAAAATTATCGAAATAAAATTATCGAAATATCGAAATCGACATTTGAATAATTTGCGAGTCACGATTTCGAGTATCGATATATCGTATCGAGAGCATGGCGCGTAAAGCATAGAATCACAGCGAAGACTTCCTAATTTCCGTATACGCGAAAACAGGTCAAAGTTATTTTCGCGCGAGGCTTGCCTCCGAAACAGCCGCCAACCTTCTCTGCGATCGAGAAATACGCTGGCTAGACCTAGAGTCGGTCATTTAACATTCTGGACCCAGACGCGATCATATTCAGTTGTTTCGCGGAAACGCAAGATCAGAAATCTCGAAAACGCGCCGGATACTGTTAAATCGCGTAGAATGAATGTGGTCATCGGCTGAAAGTGGCTCAATGTCGTGGTTAAATAAAAACTGAAACAAAAAGTAAAAAATTCTTTTTTTTTCTTAATTTCAAAGAGATTAAATTCATAAATTAAATTTTTATTAATAAATGTGAAATGAAAAATAAAAAGTGATATCTTTTTCGTAACAAATCGAAAAAAAGATACAAAAAGATTATTTCTTCATATTTATTATTTTTTTTATTTATTTTTACATTTTAATATAATCTTATGATATCGATAGCTCGCTATAGAATTATGTTTGATTTCGGTTCCAGGCGGCCAGTTGAAGATCCGGAGGATCAAAATGTCAGAGGCGGAAGGTGAGGTCTTCTTTGTGACGAGCTGGTGTCACGATATTCTTTGAATATTTCTGGCCTAGAATTATTCGAATATCGTATGATAGAATAATGAACGATACGTCGACAAGAACTCAGGGAAAAATGTATGATAATCGTGGCTACTGAACGAATCTGAAAAGGCATTCAAATGATTCTTTTCTTTTTCAAATATATAACATAATTAACGAAACACTATCTCTTATTTTCTTTCATTTCTCAATTCTGATTCTGACTACTTTTTACTTTATCACAATTGAAAGATGCTCTTTGCACGTTATCTCTTTACTAAAATAAAGCATTAAAAAAAAAAAAACAAAATTAAAATGGAATAAAATGCGTACATCTTCCTGCAATGTAACCATTGCTGCTATGTTACAAATGTATGATATAAAGAAAATGAAAATATTATTGATAATTTATACTGATATTAAAAAGAATTAATCAATAAACAAGAAAGTTAATTAATTATTGGCATTTATTATCTAAATGCTTACATTTTGTCACATCATTTAAGTAATATTACTTGGTAATTAATTAATATTAGAATTATCAAACTTGTCAATATGAAAATTTATAATTACTGAAAATATGCTAATTTTGGAAATCAAATTTATTGATGTTTTCATTAATTTCACAAATTTCACAATTTATTTTTATTGAAACTCAATTAAAAAGAAACAATTAAATTAGGCTAAATAATCTAATTTGATTTCCAATATTTTGATATATATCAAAAATGATAGTTCTAATGTTAATTAATATATTTAATAGGATAACGAAATTTAAAAAATATTTGCTACTGCTAATATTTCTCATGAATGAATGACCAATTTGACCAAAGTGTTTATTAATATTTAATTTTTGAATTTCTATTCTTTCTTTTTAATAAATAATAAATATATTTATTTTCATGAGAAATTAATAATATGACGACTCTACTTAATCATTTATATCCACTTATAAATTAAAACATTTTTAATCAAAGTTCTTAAAAAATTTCATTTACATCCTTTTGGAATTATTATTTTTGTATTATTGATAAAGAAATTTCATTTTATAATGAATCACACTGACAGAATATTTAATTCTATGTTCATTTCTGATATTTCCACTTTAATATCTGTGAAATTTTTTCAGATATTCAATCCGTCGTGGAAAACCATGATTTCCAGAGTATCATAGAGGGAGAAAGCAGAAAATCCAACTCTGTACATTATTTAAACACTTATGAGAATATTCCAAAAGAAACTGTAAAAGAATATCCGGAAGAGACTAAGGAAGAACTATACCAAGAGAAAAAGGAAAAAGAAATATTCGTGGAGAACGAGAGGAAATCGAACGAAGCAGAGAAGAAAGAGGGCACCCAAGCAGGTTCGTGACGCATAGTAATTCAAGGATAGATGGATCACCTGTTTCGAGTCGAATGTATTTAGCTCAACATTCCGCGTCGTTAATTGCGTGTAAATTGAAATGCAAAGTGATTTGAAGAATCATTATATCTTCTATTTAATTTAGTCCATTGTTATTTAGGATTAAATTGTGATTTAATTTCATTCATTTTAATTCTTCTTTTCTCTCGATGATTGTTATCAATGATTGTGACACAGAGACTATTAAAAATGACTGACAATTTAATATAATAATTATTATAATATAAAATCTACTGAAATTTAGAATGGATAAATTTATAATGATTACCGAATACATTTCAAAAAATATTTTTAATGAATCGAAGATAATTTCATTAACAAGAAATTAAAAAGCTGGACCAATTCCATCAACATTATGTATAAAATCTATCATTATGTAATAACGAAGAGGTTGATCCATCTGGCTCCTTATCAAACAAGTTAAACTACCAAAAAACAAAAATTTAACTCCTTATACACAAATATCGATCATCTATTATTATCGATCTACATGAATAATGACAACTAGAGAAACTAGAGAATATTTTAAAAAATATTTTGAAATTATAAGATAACGAAATATGCTGGATAGTATTCAGTTTGAATTAGCCGGCCCCATCCGGCACCGATCTCTTGTCTCGCGGCTTCGTTCACGATTCGTCAAGCCTCTCTCTTCTGGTGGGTAGCCACGAGGCGTTGAACGAGCGACCGAAAATAAATCCTCGCGGAGAATCCCGTGGCTTTTAAATAAAGCGAGCGCGACTGCCGGTCAAGCCAAGCGGCTCCTCCTCGCGAAAACGCGTTTCAGGCGTTCCACGTTTCTTCTCTCTTCTCTTGCCATGTCTCGAACCAACACATGATTATATTTTATTCTTCATGCATACAACTTTTAACTTCTTACCTCACTGTAAAGAAATTGAAACAAAAAAAAAATAAAAGAAAACAAAGACAAAAAAACGATAGGAAAAAAAACGAATCGACAAACAAGAAAAATAAACTTCCTCTCGTGTATACCTCATGTGCTGTCTCACAAGTTCTTCAGCTCGTCTGTTGGGTTCAACCCTTGCTTCGTGTCGTTTCTTTTTCAGCGGGTTCGAGCACGGGAACCGTGGACGACAACGACAAAGGCGTCTCGAGACTCGAAGAGAACGCAACGAGAAAAGAAGAAGCCACGAATACGTCGACCACGACAGGTACCACCATCGATGGACGAAACGCGCCAGTCGGTGAGTGGAATTCATTACCACATCTGGTAGATCGTCTACGCGCGGCGCTCGAGCTTTCCCTAGGGAGTCGTCGCGACGATGAGCCGCCAGCTGTGCTCGAGGACTCCGGCATCGATTCTGAGGAGGACTTCCGGATGCGCAATTCGATGGAACAAGCGTTGGGCAACTGCAAAGAGCCGGAATTAAAAAAGGATCTCAAGTTTTTGGAGGATCTGTTGTTATCGGACATACAAACTGCTCTGTCGCGTCTTCGCGAGACCTTGGAGAAGATTGATGTGGCTGCGCTAGCTAAACACGGTGCTGCTTCCGATCCTACAAGTAAATTACAATTGTTAAGACTGGTATCGAGTTTATTGTCCAGACTACAAGTGCCTGAGGAAAAAACTAAAGAGAAAATATCATCGGTATTACCATCGACATCCTCGAGCAGAAGACGAAGAGGAACCAGACATACTATAGGTGTTTCCACGGAAGAATTGGCTAAAGCTAGAAAGTGGTTAGAGGAAGAAAAGAATATCTTACCTTTGAAGGATATTACGCTGGTTACTAAGGAGCAGAAAGATCCGAATGTATCTGGAAATGGAGATAATGTGATTAACATAATAGATAAGAAACCAGAAGAGATTCGTGACAAATGCACAAAGGATGCGATCAATCAACGTCAATTGTTAGAGGATAAAAATAAGGAGATCAGAGACAATTGTGTGTTTCGAGGAATACAACAAATGGATATTGCAGATAGTAAGAATAATAGAGATTTAAATATGTATCAGACTCAATATCGAGTTAATAATTATCAAGAAAAAGAAAATAACGAAAATAATATTGTTGAAGATAGTGAGGAAAGAAGTCGTGTAAGTAAATTAGCGTCTATACTCAAACAACGTGCTGAATTATCGGCTTCAGGGAGTGGAAAATACGGTGGTGCTAACAAGTTCAGTGCAAAGAAATCAAAAATCAAACGTGCAAATACTATTGATATTCCTAGTTACTTGAAGCTTCAAGCGGAAAGTCTTGGTCACGAGACTGCAGGTTGTGTTTCTTTGAGGAAACCAATTAACGTTGGAGACAAGACAACTTTCAACTCGGTCAATGTTATTGTGCCTACATTTCAACCTAAAACGGAAAATGATAGAAAATTTTTGGCCCTGATTAATAAGAATAACGAAGTACCATCAGTTTCCTCAGTAGTTCCATTTAAAACCATTGGACAAACTATGGATATGTCATCATTGACTAATGAAAATTGGAACAGTAGATTCTCTAATATCAAGACTGCCTTCGATAAATCATCTGCAATAGATGAAAGAGAAATTAAACCGTCTTTAAAATTTCGTGCAAATAAAATGTTCCCAAGTTCACCTCAAACACAAATTTATTCTAATACTAATCCAAATTATGATCCTCGAATGACGAAGATGGACACAACTACGGGTTTCAGACACGCGCCATCTTCTCCTTTTCGTAAAATAGAAAAATCAGGATCTCCGTCAAATGTTCCATTATCGTATCATTGGCCGAAAAATGTTCCAATGCCGACAAGCACGTTGAAAGAAAAGGCTAGAATGATGTTTGATCGAGAAACCACACAGCCATCTTCAAAACCCTCCAGAAACTATCCGGAAAAATCTAGTTTTGTTCGATCTCCATGGATCGAACATGAAAAAAACGAGAGCAAATCCAATGGCACGGTCACAGAAAACGGTAAATTGGATTATCGATCATTTTGCAAGCAATTCGCTCCATTCGTTGGCAAAACTTTTTCCATGGAATCAAAGAAACTGGAAGAACAACATCAACAAGAATTGATTCAACGGGACAGACTTCCTGGAATAGTGGATGGTAAGATTTCCTTTAAAGTAGTACCAGATAAACGTGTTCAAACCTATCAGTATCCTTCGATGGAACGTCGAGTATCCAAGGAGAAGCTTGAAATCATAAAAAGTGGAAAAGAACACAAATATGATGAAGATAGTTTTGCTGATGCCATTCTAAGAGATAGTTCATCTGTGGCTGTTCAAACTGGAATCGACGAAAATTATCAAAATGAAGAGAGATCGTTCAGAGTAGCACCTAGAATCTCAAAAAATCAGAATTTAATTTGCAACAATGTTGCTGTGCAGACTTCCAGCGAATTGAATAAACCAGTAATATCAGTAAATGATATAGATAGTGGAAAACAGTGGACATCTTTATGTTATGAACAGTCTGATTCTGATCAGACATCTGAAGATCGTCAGAGATTTATTTTGGATCATAACCAAAATTACCATACTGTATCCAATGATTCTGAGTTCAATAGTTCTGTAATGATCCCTGATCATGTTATTAATGAACAGGATTTTAAGGAGATTGTACCTTTTCTGGGAACTCAAAATTATCAAAAATCAATTGAAAATCCGGTGAAGAATTATCAGACTGAAAATACGGATAATCAAGATTATTCTTCTTCTCTTATTTCTCCTATTTTGTCTAATTTATCTGATTACAATCAATCGGATGAAGTATTAAATGCACGAGAAGAATGCAAAAATCATCAGAAAACATCAGATTGGCCTGTAGAAAGTTCTGATTTCCCAAATGATCAAAATATTCAAAATCAAGATATCAGTCCGGAAATTGGAGTGGTTACAAGATATACATGTGCTATTGGAACGGTAGCATCGTCGGTAGATAGTCCTGAACCTCGATCAGAAGAAATAGCAGTGGATTCTAGAACATCTTCATCTCCATCACCTTCTCAATGGTCATGGACCAGATCCAGACCGCCAACTAACGAGACTATTGCCTCAGAAGATGAAATCCGTCGACATAACTTATTGCAACAGAGTTTGGTTCGTCGTCTGCAAAATGAAATCACTTCTCTAAATGATCAGCCTCAAATTTCTAATTTTGGACAACATTTGACTATTAATCAAAAAAGTCAATCTCCTAACTTAGTTCAGAGTTATCAGCAAAAGTTTTCCGATCAATCGATGAATTTTACGACAACTCACCAACAACAAAATCATAACCAACCTATAAACGTATCTCAAAAGAATATTCCTCTTCAACAATCTAATTTTAATAAATCCATACATACCATTCATCAAGAACAGACTTTCAATCAATCTGTAAATTTTGATCGATCCTCAGGCTCTCAAAAATCAAATCGATTCATCAAATATCTAACACCTGTTTCTCAGAAGAAACCAGAGACATCTCGAGTACATTCACCAAGTCCAATGATTGCGAATAGAGTGGGTGCTCTCAGGGAAGCCTACGAACAGACGCCGAACTCTCAAACAAAATCAATTCATAAAGAACGTTCACCTGTTCCAAATGGAATGGCTCCAAATGATTCTAGTGACGAATATTTAGTATCCTGTGCAACGAAACCTTCTAGATCCATAGTATTATCGAAATCAGAATCCTGGCATCAGTTGGCTATTTCTAATCGTTATCCTCGAACTTCTCGTGTAAATGCACCAGCATCACTGTCCTCGTTTCCGAAACCACCAAAGCCAAGATCACCATCTTCTCAAAAATTGAGATCTAAACAATTTGAAGCGTCCTCTATGGCAGATAGTGTGAAGAAAATGGAGGATAAGATTAGACAATACTTCGATCAGCCAAGTGACATTGTTGAAACAAAGGATTCTATGAAACATAGAAGATCTCCTAGATTTGCATCTAAAGGAATGCTTGAATTATCTCGTAGTCGTACTATGCCTGGTTTGTCCGAAGAAAAATTACATGTTTTAATACCAACACCTCAACAAATGCCATTATTGAATGTGAATACTGCAGACGTTGACAAAGTATTCGACGATTTATTCGAAGAAGCCACGAGGACTGATAATCAGTAATTATTGATATACTATACTGATTTGAATCATTGTATTCTTCGTTTATATAATGGCTTGTATTCGAGAAATACAAGTTACCATATAGGATTTTTCTATGGTGAGATCTATTTTTTGGCCTAGCTAGAAGAACTGTTGTATCCCAAGGATTCTTGTTGTCGATAGTTGTAATTGTCCTTCAATTCCAGAAGAGGTCTCTAGTATCGTGTTTAATCGAAACATTTTATCGATATAAACAATTAGTTCGATTTACTTGTGACGCTATGGAGTATCTTTTAAAAATTAACAAACAGAAAAAGACATTTATAAAAATGATATTATTACATTAATTTAGTAGAGATCAATTAATTAACAGCGTTGTGTCATAGAGAAGACAGTGAAACTTTGAAAGTATCAAAAAAAAGTGAAGTGAAAACAAAAAAAAGTAATCTTAATAAATAGAAATAAAAAGAGTAAAAAATTCAGAGTAATTACACAATGAAATAAAAAAGGAGCTCAAAACAGTGGATCTATATGGATTTCGACAAAGAGGATCAGCTAATACTGAAAGTTATTCGTTGAGGAGACAAAACTGAATACTAAACTGATTATTGCTCGTGTATCAAGCGTTCTCTCACGGAGAAAGTTTCTTGTTTCATGCCGAAGAAACACCCTGTGTATGCTTTTCACTCTTGTTTGTTTTATATTTCTTTTTTTCTTTTCTTCTCTTTTTTTATTCTTTTTTTAATAAGCTTCGAGTCGCGCTCTATGCGCGAACACGTTTTGTGGACGGACATTCAGAGTCGCTAGAAGGTCGTGCCAAAGCCCGAATAAAGCAGTGAGTCACAGCCCTTCTTTGTTGATCCTTTTTTGACGCGCAGTAGCGTGTAGCTTGCACCAGCCGAAATGTGCACGAAGTTTGAAGAGTAGCATATATTAGTATTATATATTATATATCTAGATACTATAAAATACAGTGGAGGACGCTATTTGAATATTTTAACTCAATTTTACTTTAAAAAATTTTTGTTTTTTCTATTTACTTTCTTCGTTGAATTATTAAATCAAAATAATAATCAATCAGTATCATCAAATTACTATTTCAATCGTTGTAATAAATTAATTTATTAATGATTGATAAATTAATGCATGAATCATTAAAGAATAATAGATCAAAATTTTGATTAAATTTTTTTATTGATTTTTTTTTAGTTTTTTTTTCTAATAAATTTTTCTATAAAGTTTTTTTATTATATCTTTTTTTACAAAATTTTTTTTTAAATGTTTGTTTAGAAAAGATAGTTAAAATGATACATCTTAAAGTTTTTAATAAAAAATTTATTTTCTTTTAAATTTATTTAATATATTACAGGTAATTTATATAAATTATTATATGCAATTTATTTAATTTATACACTTATTAAAATAAGTAGTTAAAATAAGTAGTATTAGTATTAATATTATAAAAATTTAATTTCAGAAATTTAGATAACGTCCTCTCACCAAACAGGCGACAACACACATAATTTGAAATTGTTTGAAACTAACGAATCTAATTATAATATAATAAAAAAAAACGCATTAAAATTTATTCAAAAGGATCAAATACTTAATTTCATGAATTAAAAAAACGAAGGTTTGATAATCTTTAATTAGCATAATAGTTTTATTTTATACTCAATGCTTGGATACTTGGCAAAAATGAATAATATAATATGTACTGATAATATATTGATTGTTATCTCTCCAAACTAAAAAATGGAGGAGAATATATTCATATATACTAGCCATATGATTAAAATTCATTTTATTAACAACTCACTCGCTCATTTTTTTACTAATCAGATCATAAAAATTATTTTTACACAAATTACAAAAATAAAATCACAAATTATTTACAAAGATCACAATTTCATTAATTTAAACATAAAATATGAAACAAAAAGAATTGAAAGACTTATTTAAAAATCATATAATAATTAAATATTAATAATATTAATAATATTAACAATATTAATTAAAAGTTATCAAATAAAAATATTAAAATTTTCAGGAAAAAAGCTCTCTTACTGTATTTTTTATCAGGAACTTATGATAAACAGCGAATGGCTCTTCGATTGACGTAGAAGCAATTCGTCCTCTATCGATATAAAAATAGCGCGCCTTATACTGTACTACACGTGCATTTATTTGGAGATTATAAACACAGAGAAAGAAAGAAAATCAAGAGATGCGCCAGCCAAGTTTCCAAGTTTTTTTCAAGTTTTTTTCCAAGTTTGCAAAATCAATGAAGAATTATTTCTGATAACTTAATTTTTACACTTTTGCGTTTCGTCGAGAAAATACCATTGTATTTATACGAATCTCTACTTTCGTGTGTTTAATATATGCATACACATACATAAATATAAATATTTATGTGAACGCGTAAAACGCACGAATTGAACCTATTGCACTTTATCTAAAAGTTTTATTGCTAACGTTTCTCACATGAACACAGAAAACACACAGTTTAGATTAGGAATTTTTTAGTTTTAAAATCTAGCTCCACGTGTTTCTTGCTATTGGAGCGATTTCGTCATCGCCTCGTTGCGACTCGAATCACAAAATCAAAAATGAAAAATAATTTTTGAAATAATGATGTATTATAATAATATATTGTTATTTATTGGTTATATTGATTTGAAAAAAAAAGAAAACCTCTGATCGAGAAATGGCGACGAGGTTGAGAAACGAAAATTTTTTTTTAATTTTTGAATTTTTTTATTGAACTTTGCCAAATCCTTCTAATAATTCTCACATGCGCAAAGATTTTTATTGACAAATTTTTAATTAGATATAGATAATTAACATTGATAAAATGAGTTTCAATTAAGTTTTACAACAATGATAATGTTTTCTTGATTTAAATAATTTTATTCGTTTTTCAGCTCGCAAGAAGCCGCTATCACCGTTTGCCAAGTTTCGTGAACTCGATAGACAAAATAGCGCCGCTTCGTCACCTAGGTAATTGAATACTATTTACAAGCGTTGTTTATTTATACAATAGGTATTTTCGCTTTTATTATTGATGAAAGAATCGATATTATTAGACAACGAAAAAGTTTTTTCTATCTCTTTCGGTATTAAAAGAAACGTAACTATTTTAATAGTACTATATCAAATATATTTTTTAAATAATAAGAAAAGCATTACTATTAAAATAACTAATGATAGTTATTAGTACTAAAGTATTTAAAAATATTAAAATTATTAGAATTCAAAGTTTAAATTAAAATAATAATTACATTATTTAAATTAACTATCAAATAATACTATTAGACTACAATATACAATATTTATGTATGTTAGAAAAAAGGATCTTTTTTTTTTCTAAACTGTAAAATAAATATTCTTTTCTAAAAATCTAAAAAAAAATACATCTTATTGTTTAGCATAATCTTCTTAACGAAAGGCATCTCTTTTTCTATTTCCTTTTAAAAATGCTATGCTATTCATTTAGGCAATATAATGATAGACCATTTTTGTTAGAGCATTTTCAAGTTTTATTTCATTTTAACATTTCATTTTAATTTTAATAATTGATAGTTAAAAAGACTTACCAATAATTCTGTTTATGATTAGATTATCTTCAATCCTCATTATCCATTTATATTCATCATAAAGATATTTCTTAGATTTTATTTCTATTATAAATAGTTCAAACAAACAATAACGATTATTTGCCTTCGATATTTATTCTATATTTTTCTATAATCGTTATTATTAATATATACATATATTAATATTATAAATATCATAAACATTATATTTTCCAATAATTTTAATAATAAATTTTATATTTTTAAGCACTTTTGATCTCTTTGAAATTGATGAATTTTTCTTCTATATTTCTTCTATATTTAGTCCTGTAAAATCACCGGCAACAGAGTTTCGATTCAAGTTTACCGAACCAACAGTACGGGACAACGCGGTACAAATAAAAGAGCGGCTACTGGCGTGGTGCCGTTCCAAAACCAAAGAATACGAGGTAAATTCGTTTTGCAAATGGAACTTCTCGAGTTCACACACTCGTATATATGTTATTTACAGAAAAAAACAGTTCTGAAAGAAAAGAATGAGAAATAATTATACATTGGTAGCATCAAAATTGCGCATCAATTATGGTATGATTATATTTTTTATTGCAGAATGTACAATTAGATAATTTCTCGACGAGCTGGAACAACGGATTGGCGTTTTGCGCTCTGCTTCATCACTTCAGACCAGACGCTTTCGACTTTTACTCGCTACAACCAGAGAATCGTAGAATGAATTTTGAGTTGGCGTTTAAAAAAGCCGAGTAAGCTTATATAAAAAATATTTTCTTATAATATATATATTTCTTCATTTTTCTTTTCAAAGTATTTTTTAAACATTCTCTTTTTTTATATATATATAATTTTCAAAAGCATTTTTTTTATAAATCTATAATATAGAATATAATAAAAAAGATATGATAAATCTCTAATTAAAATAATTAGGGAAAACATATGAAAGGAAAAGAAAGGATTATTATTAGATAAATAATTATTTTGAATAATTAACTATGAATGTTATAATACAATTTAAGCTTAAATATTTTATTTCTCAAAAAATTCTGAAAATTTTCTTTAAAATCCTTTTAATTTATAATTATTTAATAAAATTTTTATTTTTAAAATTGAATAATTGAAAATTTTTTCATAGTGAACTCGCCGGGATCGCACCACTACTTGATGTTGAAGATATGGTAATGATGCGTCGACCAGATTGGAAGTGCGTCTTTACCTATGTGCAATCTATTTATCGCCGCTTTAAAGACGAAGATTAAGAATTGATTTTAACGCTTTTTAATAGCGTTTTCACAATGCACACCTGATTTTCAACCGCCTTACGATTCGTGGATTCAATCTGCTATTTTTTTGAATAAATATTATCAAAAAATCATTCTTCAAAATCAATTCTTCAAACATGAGAAGAAAATAAATTTGAAGTAAAATTTTAGAACAAAGAATAATGAAGAAATACTAAATAAAAAAGTATACTTTTGTGCATCTCATATTTAGTAATACGTTCAGTAACATTTTTATGCACGATTTTTATGCCTTCTGATGATAATTCTTAATTATTTTCATTAAAAGATGTGATGCAAATAAAACAGCTTTCTTGAATATATATATATAATATTGTATCTGATGCGTTATTGTGAACAAATCATCAGTTATTATCAAAATGAAATTTATATTGATGTTTTGAATGAAATTTAAAATTTTTTACGCCAAAGATTTGTTAAATAAATATGTGATGTTAAGTTCGATTAATATCATTATTTTTTGTTAACAATAAAGTAATATAGATCATAAATTTTTTAATTAGAAGGTACAAAAAAAAATAAAGAATATTAAAAAACCAGTTTATTAATTATAATCAAAAATATATTTATATTATATTAGATACTATTCTGAGTAAATACAACTATATTCGCAGTCATAGTCTTAATTAATTCAGTACATACATACAAATAATCATGAACAATTAAAAAGAAATAACTATATAAAAAAAAATCTTACATTTCTAGCTTATAAAAGCTTTATTTGAATTTTAATTCAGATTATGCAATCTATTAATATTTATTATTAATAAATCTATATATTATCCATTATATTTGGCCTCAAATCAAAAAACATTTAATATTTAAAGAATCAAGATGTTAAGGCACTAATTAGTATTTGATTGCATAATATTAAATTAAATCGTATCTTCTAGGGAATTATTTATATCATTTCTATCTTCTCCAATCATTTCCTATAAAATAAATTATATTTAATTATACATAGTTGGTTATAAAAATATTTTAAATGTTATAAGTAAAAGATTGCTTATGATTATACCTGTAAAACTTCAACCAGTGCTCTAGATTCATCTAACATTTCTTTATAAATACGATTTTCTTCTTCTAATGTTTCAACACGTTCAGTCAATTCTTTGTTATCTTCTAAAGCATCTTCAAGCGCTATCCGTCGTCTTTCAGCTAATACTTCCCAATAATTTTCACTAGGACCAGCTAATGTAAATATGAAAAATTATCAAATTAACAATGGTATAAAATAATTTTTTTTTTATTTTTAACTTTTGTTTTTAACAAAAATATACCTTCAGATGTTAAATCTTCAACTTCAATTTTTATTTTTCCTCCTCTTGCAGTTTGTACAGCTTTATCTTTTAAAACTATTTTTTTACGTTTTGGCTTTTCATCAATTTTTGGTTTTTCTTTCACTTCACTAAATGAAATTTTTATTAATTTGAATAATATATTTACATTTAAGTATGGAATATAAAAAAAATTATAAAATTTATTTACTTTTTTATTGTTTCCTTTGCTGGAAGAGCAGATCTAAGCATCCTCCTTCCACCACCAACTAAATTTTCTTTATCAGTTGCTGCTGGCTGCAAAACGTGCAAAGACTTTCTGACCTTATCCTGTTTCAATAAAGATAAAAATATATGATGTATGATAAAGCATTCACATGCATTGTGTTGCTTGAATCATATATTATATATTCATTAAGAATGAACATTATATGTTCATTAAGAATGAATGAATAATTAATAAAAAAAAAGATAATGATTTATTATATTATACAAAATAAACAAAAAAATCTTTATATATTTATATATTACTATATACTTATATACTTATATATTTATTTACTTATATATATATATACTTATATATTTATATATTTTAAATATATAAATATATTTATATTTATATATTTATATATTACATACAATTACATACAATTTTAAGAATTTATTGATAAATTTAAAACGACAGTTAATTAATATTCAAAATTCGTAGAGAAATAAAAAATTTAACAAAACAAAATAATAGTTTCATAAATTAAAATATTTATTTTACTCCAAAACAATAAAATTTCAATATAATTAAATGCAAGAAATATTTTCATCTTTTATAAAAATTATTGTATTAAAATTTTTATTATTATACTAACCTCAGGAGTAACAGTTTTGGCGGCAGAAACCTTTGTACCAGGTTTCATGATAATAGCCTTTAAAAACGCGAGTCAATAAAATAATTCAGTTATTATTGTAACGCTGAACGTATGTACAAAATATTAAAATGATACTTATATTTTCAGATTATAATTTTTAAAATAGATATAGTTCAAATAAAAAATAACCTTCATCCTGCGTTTACAACTGTACAATAAACTTCAATATATATATAATGTACTATTTTCCCGCTTTAAAGCATTACTTCTGTCTCAAAAATGTTATTTTTATAACGCAATAATAATTTAAAATTAACGGATAATTTTTATGATAATTAATATAAATATATAAATATAAAATTATTTTAATGATTCTCAAAAAAACAGAGAAATTATTTTTTAAAATATTATTAAAATTTAAATAAATATCAGATTTTTATTAAAATACGAATATTAGATATATTTATGAACACTCTAAAATATTGTAAATAAAATTAAAAAAAAAAATTTTTTTTAAAATTAATCAGCATAATATATAATTATAAAAATTTTAATTTATTTATTTATTTTGTCATATATGAAAATTTGAAATATCAATAAAATAAGTTGCTAGAAAATTTTCTTCTCGCCATTTTTATATATTATATATGTATGTGATATCATCAGGTAGATGGCGTTATTTATCATATTATGTTGTCAAGTACACATTCTTTTACCAATGTTAATGGTTTCCTTCTCCATGCCAGATGTAATCTTTATATTCTCATTTCCCATTTCTCTTATTTAGTTGACGTCTGTGTCTCAGTGAGGGTTTGTGAAAATTTTTTTGATCCATTCGTGGAATGTCATGTTATTTATAATATATTAACTATTATTATTTGTTCAACAAAAATATTTTTTATCAAAAGATTAAACAAAAATTATAATATAAAATATTAAAGATGTCCATGGAAACAGTTCCGAAAGAGTTACGTGGATTAAGAGCTTGTTTAGTATGTTCTTTGGTTAAGGTATATATTTTTGTATTTTTTATCATAATTTTTGTGTGAAATTAAATTATTAAAAATTTTCATTTTATTGTAGACATTTGATCAATTTGAATTCGATGGTTGCGATAATTGCGATGAATTTTTACGTATGAAAAATAATAAAGATAACGTTTTTGATTGTACCAGTTCTAATTTTGATGGGTAAGTCATTTAAATAATAAAATTTTTATATATATAATAAATATATTTTCTTTATTTTAAATAAAATTAATATTATTTTTTAGTATGATTGCAGCAATGAGTCCTGAGGATAGTTGGGTATGCAAGTGGCAAAGAATAAGTAAGTAATAAATTTATATTTACACTTAATAAGTTAAGGTTAAGCAAAAGAAATATTGTTATTTTATTTTTGTACACTTTTACAAAATTATAAGTTACATTATTTCATAGTAAATCATATTCTAAACTGGTATTTTTTATTTCATTAATATTTCATTAAATTTTTGATATATTAATCTTTCTTTTTTCTGTTCCAATAATCTGTTTTGGCAGTGCAAATAACAATAATCTAAATCATGTTTTATATTATATATGTAAATGTATTGAAAGGCAGCACTTTGTACAAGATTTTAAGCCAATATTTCAATACAAAAGATGCAACTAATATAAAATAATTAAATATTAAATTGCAAAATATATATATATATATATTGCAATTTAATAAATTTTCGTGTCTGAGATTCTTAATATTAAGTATTATACATTTATACAGAATTTTCATTAATATATGATATTATGTATAATTAAGGAACATGCTTATGTGCGTACATAAGATTCTAATTTTAACATATTTTAATTTCATTATATTTTGCAATAATTTTTTTACATGTTATTTTTATGTTTTATAATTTTTTTCTTAATTTAACTTAAAACAAAATGGACAAAATTTGTTGTTCAAAATTATAAATATTTGATATTAGAATTGAGATTCGATTTGTTTTTTTTTTTCAGATCGATTTTGTAAAGGTGTGTATGCAATATCAGTATCAGGTCGATTGCCAGCAGGTGTTATAAGAGAGATGAAAAGCAGAGGAATAGTGTATAGACCGCGCGATACAAGTCAACGATAATTTCAAAAATTGTAAGATAACTACTGTATTTTTTTTTTAATATTATTTAATTAAGAATAATCTAATTACTTATTTCATAATTTGCACTAAGAATTTTATAAGATCTTCACGAAAATATTATATTCGATTTGATTGATATGAACTTTTGTTCAGATTTTCAGAATTCTATTGAAATTCTTTCAATCTTTTTGACTATATTTAAGATTTTTGTAAGATTTGTTCGCGATTCTTTTGCTTTTTTTCTAATTCCAAAAGATTATAGTATATTAATATTTCCGTTAAATTTTTTGATATCTGTACAGAATTTTAAAAGAACTAGTTAATACGATTTTGAAAATGTTCGATTTTTAAAGAATATGTACAATTGATGTGGAATCCACTTTTTCTTATCATAAACATTTCCCAGATTTTTTAAAACCGCATTTATATTAGATAATTTTTAAAAAATGTTAATGTTTGATTTTCTAATCATTAATTAAATATAAAGTTAATTCACTCTGGTTTGCTATAAATCTTCATATAGTAAATTAATATGTGTACATTAAAAAATTTTCGAACGCAAGTTTTTGTCTTTTTTCTCTAATACAGATCAATATCAAATATGATTGTTACCTGGACATGTGTTCAAATGAGAATAAACGGGATGCCGCATCACGGGCAAATTACTATTTACACAATTAAGCCATAGATTTGCACAAGTAACGTGATAATTATTCTCGTTATATACTACTCTGCCGCTGGTAATAACCGTTAAACAAAGTGAGCAACAAATGGCTTCTCCTTGATGTAAAGGCCAAGCTGGTAATTCCGTAACGATCTGAAATTTATTATAATGTTATTATAAAAACGTTATTATAAAAACATAATGTACAAATTTAAAACTTTGAATTAATAAAAATTAATAAATATAAGAATATCTTACTGGTATATTTGCATAAAATGGTTCCATTTCTGCCCAAATTCGATCAATGTCCATTAAAAGTTCATCAAAACCTATTATATTAATATCCATTTCTTTATATGAAAAATTAACTCGTCTACAAACAGCTGCGACTTCAGCTAAATCTGATTTAAAAAAAAAATTCAATAATAGCATTATTCATTTTAAAATATTATAAAAAAATTAATAAATTCTTTGAGAGTTCATTTTATTTAGTAAATTTTTACAATATTACTTACTACAAAGAAAATTATATCCTTGTGCTGAATTTAAAACTTCGTGCAATATAAGTTCTGAATTAATATTTGTAAATATATTTGCAGCTATTTGTAACAATAATACACAGCTTTCCATATATTGCTTCCATTCCCAATATTCTGACTATAAAATTATATAAATTAAATTATTTTTTATATTATCCTTTTAGACATATATTAAAAATATAAGAAAATTAACCTGGTGTGTAGTATCCATTACTTGTTCATCTTCTGTATTTGAAGGTAAGAAAGACTTAAGATCTAAACTAGGCACAGATCCTGATCGAGTTAATGCATTTGATGCACCATTCATAAATTCTATACTATTAATTGATATGGCATCTTCCTTTTGAAGAGCTTTCCCTTAAAATAAAATATAGCTATTATATTATACTATTTATAATGTAAAAAACAATAGAATAAATAACTTGCAATATTAATTACCTATCTCTAAAGAGCGTTCTTCTATGTTATCCTCAAGCTTAAGATTGTCAAATGATTCAGAAATATCTGGCATAAAATTAAAATCTGCTGCATTTGTATTATTGTTAGTAGATTTAAACTCAAAATCAGTAAAAATATCAACAAAATTGTCAGTATCTAAAGCATTTATGGCAGGAGTATTAACAGGTTGTTCTGCAGATACAAATTCTCCAAATTCATCAGTTGATTGATTATTGTAACTTGCGTTTGAATCTGGTTCAGTTGATATACTTGTTTCTTGAACCAATGCACGCAAGGCACTATATTTATCTTCAACAAGTTGGAGATTCATAAGATCCTGCTGAGTGGGTTCCAATGTTGCTGATTGAGCCTAATTATACATTTATAATTAAACTATAATAAATTTATATAAACTTTAAACTTTTAGTACAATTAATGTAATTTATATAATAAAATACCTTATCGATCCATTCTAACTTATTCAAAACATCTTTATCATTTAAATGTACAATTTCTGTATTTGTATAATCTTTTACATTTTCACTATGGTCCTTGGGCGGATCATTATTTCTTATCACTGTATCCTTAAGAATTACTGTTTTAGATTGATTTTTTATTGTACACTTAGGAAATAAATCTGATAAACAATCTAATGTTGACTGATCTTTGCTTTGAGATATTGTAGTTAATGGTATTGATGTAATACGCGTTTGAATAGTAGTAGTGCCATGAACAGATTTAGCATTTATATTATTTTTTTTTGACTTTTCCATTGGTTTTTTAACACCTAAATTATGATTTGCAAGTCTACTTCCAATAGCTGAACCTTGTTTAGTATCCCAAATGGGAATGTTAGAAATATTAGGGATTGGAGCACTTTGAAACTCAGAAAAGTCATCACACAAATCTGTTGCTGGTTTAGAATCTAATTGAAGGCGGGAAGTTTGTTTTGCATCTCTTAATATATTATTGGTATCCCATATTGTAGTAGAAGAGACATAAGATTTATTATCAAAACATGAAATTTTTCCAGGTACATTGTTTGCCATTTGCACATTTAAATCTGAAGATATGATTCCTTGTTGTAATTTCATTTTTCCTTTAGTCTCTAAAGAATATTTTTCATCTGAGGCAATAAATCCAATTTCAGTATTATCTTGATCATTTTGAAATTTAGCTGCAGAATTCATTTGTGTTATAGGCTGTAGATTCATTAAACATTCAATATTTAAATATGGAGTAGGTGGAAATGGAAGTAAATGTAATATATCTAGACTATTAAATGTATAAGAAGCTTGTGCTGCAGCAACAAGAGCAAGAACAATATATAATTCTTGCTCTGTGAGCTGTCCAGCATATTTTTGATTTGCTAAATTCCATATGTGTCCAAGAACTTCTGTGGGAAGTTGACTTGTGAGCAATAAAGGAAAGACTTTGTTAGTATCAACTAATAGTTCGGTTTGTATTCCATTTGTTCTGATTTTATCTTCCCGTACTGCTTCCCATACCATTTTATAGATTGGTGGTAAAGTAGTGGAATTAGTCCACAGCCAAGTTGGCAACTGATTCAGTCTTTTATCCATATGAGTTTTGTTCATTATCAATAAACGATGTTTAATCAAATTTTTGCTATGACGAGTTTAAATTATGTGAACTCGTCGAGCAAAATAATTTCATCCTTTAATTTACTACCCTGGTACATACATCAAAGTTGATATCATAAACATTTCACTCATTTACTCGATTTATTTTAATATTTGCACATGTCACTAGTGTTACATTTCTTGTTGATAGTTTCCATTGCAAAAAATATACGAAGAATAATCCGATTTCTTGATTATTATGATTCTTGATACAATCAAAATTATTAATTCGAGACAAAATGAGACAATTGCGTGGCAAATAACTTAATTCAGGTGTCACTGGATCACTACTGAACGATGTTCTGTTACAAAGGTAGATTCGCGACAAGTATAATGAAGTTTATTTAAATTTCGAGCTTAAGATGCTTTACATTATACAAAATTTGTAAAATTATTAGTTTTTAACATCGCATTTTTAAAATATAAAATTAAAAATAATTTATTTTAATATTCTTTACATAAAATTATAATTTATTAATATTTTATTTGCTAGTCGATATTTTTTATAGAATATAACTTTTCTTAAATTTTCTTTTATCAAATTTTTAAAAATTAAAAGATCCTAAATTTAAAAAATTTAACATAAACATTGTTATGATTGATAAAATAATTGTAAGGCTCATAAATTTAAAATTATAAACTGTAAAAAATGTGGAAACTGAATCATTTTATATAATATTGCAATTACATATGAATCGCCTTAATAATCGATTACAATATCTTAGAATAGATTTATCATTCAATATATTTACATCATGTATAATATAATTTGTATTATATTCGTGTTATGTATTATATTTATTTTAAATGTAGTTATATTTATAATTTGTAAAATATATTTTTGTATTTTTATATATCATTATATCATATATATATATATATATATTTCTTAAAAATATGACATAAATAAATATATAAAAGATAAATATAAAACAATAAAATTAAATAAATTGATGAAAAAATGACAAAGTTCCTAATGTTAATATATTAGCATAAAGAAATAATTAATTTATTACAGCTATCATTTTTTAGAATTTCAAATTATTTTTTCAATAGTTTTAATTCTAAAAATATAATTTTATCTGTTGAAAAATTGAAAAATTAAAGTGAAATTAATGTCATTTCTAGAATATTATAAAAACATGCATAGACAAGGAAAACAAATAATAGAAAACAGTAAAGATAAGATTAACTATTATTAGCATCATCCCTTGAATATTAAAAATATTTTTCTAAAAATGTTAAAAAATAGCACTGATTCTCAAATTCTATTTTATCTTATTATTATTTTAAAAAAATATTTTTAAAACACAAAAAATGGTATTAATAGTTAATTCTTACTCTGTCTATTCTTTTTTATTATTTGTTTTCTTTATCTATATTTTATCTTTAGAGATGCTGATTTCATAATTTTTACTCTATTTCTCTTTTTTCGCATATTTGATCTTTTTTTTTATAATTGCTAAAATTTATATGTTTAAAAGAATTTATTTGGTTCAATTTTTATATGTTTATATATATTTTACGTAGTATATTTTTGTATTTTTATATGTTATATCTAAGTTATTCGATAATTGATAAAATTATATGTTTAAAAATATTAAAAATAAAATTAAATAATATTTTTTTTTATATAACTCATTGAATTGATACATGAGGATTAATATTATTTTGATTTTTTGATTAATTACTTCGATTATCGAATATATCTTTAGATTTTTTTGTAAGAGTTATTAAATAATAAAATATATTTATAGCCAATTCAAAATATTCAAAACTTAAAAATATGCTTAAAAAATTGAATTATGATAGGATAATATGATCGATAATTTAAAAAACACAAAATTTAGGACACAAAACCCCACTAAATAGTAAATCTATTCTATATTTTGTTTGTTTTGTGGCTTGGCAACCATAACGCTATAACACTCACACTTACAGTTTAATGTACGATATACTTCCATTGTTTAAAAATATTTGTTTTACATTGCCATGTGTAACAATACAACACTGTTAAAAACTTATTAAAATTATTAAAGAATTACATCTTTATAGAATAAATAATAATATCAATTTATTGCATAAGGAAAAAAATATTAAGGTACATAAAATAACCTCTGTAATTTATGTCGTTTTTAATATATATATTATATTAAAATATAAATTGTGAATTTATCATTTTAGGTGAAATATCAATAAATTGTTGTCATAATGTCAACAGATTTTTATATACGCTATTATGTGGGTCATAAAGGAAAATTCGGTCACGAATTTCTTGAATTTGAATTTAGACCTGACGGTAAATTGCGATACGCAAATAATTCAAATTATAAAAATGATACAATGATTCGAAAAGAAGCATATGTGCATCAATGTGTGATGGAGGAATTGAAGAGGATTATTCAAGATTCTGAAATAATGCAAGAAGATGATTCTTTATGGCCACAACCAGACCGTGTTGGACGTCAAGAACTAGAAATAGTAATTGGTGATGAACATATATCATTTACTACTTCAAAAACTGGTTCATTATTAGATGTAAATCAATCACGGGATCCAGAAGGATTAAGATGTTTCTATTATCTTGTACAAGATTTGAAATGCTTAGTATTTTCTCTTATTGGACTTCATTTTAAAATAAAACCTATATAAATGTATAATTATTATGTATTACAAATTTAAGTAATCTTAATTATTTCATATTAAAAAAATACATGATTTATAATTAATTTTGTATTTTTATTTATCTTTATGATATTAAAATTTATTAAATAAGAAATTTATTAAATAAGATATGTTTTTATGTTAAGATAAAATTTATTTTAAGATTTTTTATGTTAAAATATAAAAGTAATGAATCATAAAGTTAGTTGATTAATCATAATTTCATTTATCACTTTTCATTGTTGTCTATAAATGTGTGAATGAAATTGGTACTAATATGATTTTATTATAAAATATTGATAAAAGATAAGAAATAATTATAAATGATACAGTTACTATTATATTTGATAATATAATAAAATAAACAAGTATGTTAATTAATGAAGACTAATTATTATGGTCACTAATAATTAATAAAAGAAAATCTCATGTAAGTATATGATTTGAGGTTATAATTTTCTAACCTATATAAAAAATAAAATTCAAAAATATTTGAAAATATATGTATTTTTATAATAATTGTAATTTTTATTTTACTTTTTAAATTATATTCTAAGCTAACATTTAGTTGACATAATGATAAAATAAGTTTTACAATAGTCAATTTATTTATTTTAAAATCTTTGTTATATTAAATTAATATATATGTATTTTTTAATATTAAAATAAAACTTTAAATATATTTTTTTAAATATATTTATACGATAAATTTTAATATTTTTTATTTCATATAAGAAATATATTTATAAATTTCATATAATCATTTTAAGATATAAAATTATATTATAATTATTTGTTGTAATTAAATATTATTTGTTGTAATAATTATTTTCTATTATAGGAATAAAATGTCTTCACAAAATATTGAAGCAACTAATTCAAGTCATAAATATTCAGATCGATTGAGTCAACGCACTGATACTGATTCAGTACACTCAAGATTTCGATCAACAAAAATATATTGTGATATTTGCAATATGAGTATGGTTATTGAAAATCATTCTTTTATAAAAAAACATTTTAATGATTCTCATCCTTCTAAACAATTTTGTTGTTATTGTAAAGGCAAAGTATTTACTTATACACAAATGCCTAATGATTGTACTCAGAAACCAAAATCTATATTATACCATAAATGTAATAAATCTTAAGTACAAACAATAATTATAAATATTTAGGAAAAGAATACAAAAGAATTTTTTTTATAGATATTTATATATTTAAATAAAATATATTTCTTATAAAATTGTTCTACATTAAATTGTGCAATACAAAACTGAATAAATAGTATAAATATGCGAATACGAAAAAATTTTCAAAATTACACAAAGAATCAACAATAACAAGTATATAAAAATATAATATAATAATAATTATTGATCGAAAGATGCGATTTTTCCATTATTTTATATACAAATTATCAAATTATAAAAGTTTATAAGCATGTTACAATTTATTCCAAATATAAAAGTACAGATATTTATACATAATATAAATATTCTTTCTGTACAAGTTGTAATTAAGAACCGTTTGCAAACTATTTGTTCTCGAAATGACAATTAAGACAGTACAAAACTTAAAATATAATAGATAATAACTTCTTATATTTTTTGTTTTTTTTTTAATACTAGATAATTTTTTTTATAATACTGATAGAAAGGAATATATTATTTAAGTAATTTCTAAAATAATGAATTATAAATTTTGAAATAATAATAATAAATTATTTTAAAATCCATAACATTTTTCATTGTAATCAAATAATAAATGATTTCTTACATTTTATAATTAATTCTAATAACAATTATATATGATCATTTCCATATCTGTATATATTGTGCAGAAATAAGAAAATGAATAACAGGACAGCACAATATACGTACGATTTTTTTACTCATTTAGTACAAATTTAATTTTGATAGTTTTTTTTTTTAGTTCCTATTAGATTTTTTGTAAAATTTCAATTATATTAATAATTTAAATTATAACAGTTTTAAAGTTCGTATTCTATTTGGTTTTCATGTTTCATTTGTTTTTTTTTATTAAACAAAATTATATGATCTAATTTGAAATATTATGAATTTTTTTGAAAATTCATGTATCTTTGAAATTGTATGCAAAAAAGTGATATTATATTATTTATTACATTAATAAGTTCAATATTTTTTTAGCGATTTAATTTTTCGTTTCTCTATTTTGTATATTCAACTTTCCTATTTATCTTTATATTTTATATATATCGATTCTTTCATTCTAATATCACATATCTGATTTAATTTTTAATCATCATGAACAATTCTATATAAAGATATTTATAATTATTGATATATAATTTATTTATTTTCTTACGTATGCTATTTTAATTAGATAAATATCTAATTTTAACAAAAATCTAATTTTAGTTAATTATAAATTAAATTTGCAAATATTTTTTTTATTTTTCATATTAAATTATTCAAAATTAAATATAGAAATATTCAAAATTCAAATTTCTTTAAAAATTCTAGTATTAATATTAGTGATTAAAATTTTAGTATTAGTGGTATTAGAACAAAAATAACGATATATAAATTCTTATATATGTGCGATATATATTTTTTTAAAACTTTGAATTGCCTTTTTAATAAATATAAATTAAATTAAAAAAATAATTT